CTGCTTTCTACTGGTATGATGCAGCAATTTTCCTCTCCATACTTTGCAGCAAAAGCATTAGCTTTAGGTTGTTATTATTGTTAATCTTCCTTTTTTTTCTACTTTGCAGGAAGATGAGAAGATGAGTGAATTTATACATTCTGGTTTTTCTGAATTCTCAAACCATAACAAGTCAAAACAAGGATATAACTAAGATCAAGAAGATGAAACGTATGACAAAAAGTTTTGGGTTTTTTTTTCTTTTTCATTTTCTGCCTTTTCATGGAGTGTTTATTCTTATGTATAGATAATATGCATAAAATAACTATTTTGTAATACTAACCTTTTAAAATTATTTTGGTCATCCTATAACATCTTCCTGCTCATTTAAGCTCCTTTCAACCAAACAACCTTTAAGTAAACAATAGCTATTAGCCTTTTAACCAAATAAAATGTATTATAAATACTTTTGTATTGGTTACCTTGTTGTACACCAAGCTATCTTGTTTTGTTTTGTTTTTAAAACCATTCAGTAAATGTGAACACCTGTAAGATTTTAAAAGTCACCTTCTGTCCTGGCTAGTTGTCTTTCACCCTTTGTTCTTCAACTTTCAAGATTACTTCTTCAATTGCAGCTTCTGTATTACTTCCATTATATGTAATCTGATGAGGGGTTGGCTGAGGGGTTAACCTCTCAGGCTCTTTTGAATTTGGTTTTTATAACTTTAAGTAGTAAATCCTATTCCTATCTGAGATTAATGAACATAGCTTACTGTATTCAGATGACTAGTCAAATTCTATTCTGCCTATATGGAAAAGTTTTCTTAGACAATATCCGACAACGAAAAGGGTGGGCCAAGAAATCTGCATTTTTAACAAACACCGCAGATAATTCTGGGGCAGATTGTCCTAGGACCAAACTTCGAGAAACTGCTGTAGGACTACAGAGTCCCACAGAACTTACTCATTATCAACAGTGTTGGCTGAATGGAGGCTAGAGGCTTTATTAAAGGAACAGTTTACACAGTGGTTAAGAGCTTGGCATCCTGACAGTCTGTTCCTTTCCTGTACTCCTATTACTTTAAGGCTTCAGACCTCCTAGAGTCATTCTCTGGTATTATGTTTCCTATTGTTTAGTTCTATTTTTTTCTCTTTTCCATGAGGTTTGTCTTTTCTTTTTTTCTGTTCCCATGCAAATTATTTTTCATTGTATGTATCACACTTATAAACCTTTTCTTTTATTGTTGGCGGAATTTGGTCACAGCAAGAAACAAATTTCCTATTCCCATATTATAAAGACATTTACCCATGGTTTCATTTTGTTTTTACATTTAAATTTCTGATTCATATGGATTTTGTTTCATGGTGTGAGACAGGAATGCAATTTTGACCTTTTTCCAAATGATTCCCCATTAATTAAAAAGTCCGTGTTTTCCACTACTGATTTGAAGTGCCACCTTTTTCAATGTTGTATTTCCATGTACACTTAAATTTATTTCTCAATTTTCTGTTCCCTTTACTTGTCTGTGTTTCTTTTGATGCCCCACTACCATCCTCTAAATTATAGAGACTTTGTGGGAGTTTCAAAGTTTCCCTCATGGATGTTTTCCACATTTCTTGATGCCTAGGCATTCTCTCTTTTTTCCTGGTAATATAAATGGGAAATAAACTCTGTTATTGTTTGCAGTATTTTCTAAATCTATCTCCTGAAAACCAAGCTATCTTTACTCCCTTTTTCTCCCCAATTCTTAATGCCTCTTGTTGCTTTCTCTTGTCTAATTGCATGGCTGCTACCTTGTGTTAAATGTTAAATAGCAGTGACAATAGTGGGTATCCTTGTCTTGTTCATGATTTTCATGGGAATGCCTCTGGTTTTATCCCATTAAGTAAGATGCTGTGGTTTGAGCTGGTTATGTATGTTTATAATCACATTAAACTATTATCTACTGATTATTATTTTATTGAGTGCTTTTTAAAAAAATTATGAATGAATGTTGAATTTTGTCAAGTGACTTTTGGCGCTGATGGAGACTATTAGTTAGGGTCCAGCCAAGAGATAAAAACCACAGATATACTGGGCTTCCCTGGTGGCGCAGTGGTTGAGAGTCCGCCTGCCGATGCAGGGGACGCGGGTTCGTGCCCCGGTCCAGGAAGATCCCACATGCCGCGGAGTGGCTGGGCCCGTGAGCCATGGCCGCTGAGCCTGCACATCCGGAGCCTGTGCTCCGCAATGGGAGAGGCCACAGCAGTGGGGGGCCCGTGTACCACAAAAAAAACCCCACAGATATAAATTGTTAACCATATTCTAGAGAATTGAACAAGAACTGAAAAGGCAAAAGGGACTAGGGGAGTATCATAGAGGAAGTAACTATGGGAAGCACCCACCATCTCTGAGGCTGAGGGAACACAGAGAAAAGGATGGAAGTATTGAAACTTAAAGGCTTAGAGGAAGACTTTCAGGAAGACTTTAAAGGCTTAGAGGACTCTAGGGGGAGGGTGTGCAACTGGTTGGTGCTGTTTCCCTGAAGGGCTACACAAGACTGGTCCGATAATGTGGAAAAGCTGCGAATTGGAGCCAGCTGTGGCTGCTGAAGTCAGTTGTTCCCGCCGCATGAACCACTCTGTGGTGACCCTGACAGGAACAGGAAGCAAACAGGAACAGCAAATGTCTCTCTCCTCCATCCTTCCAGTTCCCCTCTATCACCTATCGCCAGAGACTGGAAGGGAACCTGGCAAAGGAGAAATGTGGTTTGCCAAGGCTTAGCCTTAAAGTGGAGTAGAGAAGTGTGGATTTGAAGTCAAAGCATAATAGCTTAATGTGAATCAGCACAAAAGAGAGATATGATTATCCTCCTTTGATATATTCACATAGTGAACTATATTCATTAATTTGTTGATCCTGAAACAAATTCTTGCTCTCGTGGAATAAACCCCACTTTTTAATGTGTGCCAGCTCTTGTCTCAACTCTAAGCCCATCTCTCTATACTTTGCCGTGTGATGCCAGAACTCTGCAAGTCACGTTTCTTCTTTGCTAGCTGACTTTGAAGCTTCTGTCAATAGGGGACGATAGAAGGAGATGGAAAGTCATGTGAAATCTGAGTGCCCGCTGACCCCCGGAAGCCCTTTTCCTACATCCTGAGGTATTAACGGCAGCTGAGCAATGCTCTCCCCTCAGAGGTCTCCTCTTAAGTTTCCAAGTTCTAATAATCCCAGCCTCTTCCTTTTTTCCCCGGGAAGGTTCCTGTTCATTGCTGGAGGAAATGCAAAATGATACAACATTTATAGAAAAGGTTTTGACAATATCTAGCAAAATTATTCAATACATATGCGTATAAAATCATTTGACGCAGCAATCCCACTTTTAGGAAACTATACCAAAAATTCTCTTGAAAAGAATACAAAAATTTCACCATGGTATGGTTTGTAATAACAACAACAAAAAAGGAACAACATAAGTAGCAATAGGGAGCAGCTAACTTGAAAAACAAGTGAAAATGAAAACTATCAAGATGGTGACAAACACAGAGATAACTGACCTTAGAATTATAAATGTGTATCTTTATTAGGGTATACTCTAAGAATAAAAGAACTGTAAAGAAATCTTAAACTTTTATTCACTAACCTTATTGCGGCCATAGTATTGATGTGGTTGTTTTGAAATCGATCTAAGGACAAGATAAAGCAATTATGTTGAAGTTTTAGAACCAAGATTTTTGGCATAAGCGAAAAGAGATACAATTGTAAAACCCAAGATGGTTAAAAAAAATTGAACCTGAATTAAATCAAGGCTTTAGATCCGTAAGCAGGGTACAAGAAGTCAGTAGCATGGAGGAACAAAGAACACCAGGGAGAAGCAAACAGTCATATTCAAAATGTGGTTCATTCTGTAGGACAACTGACCTAGGTTTCTTCTTCAGAGTGTTGATAGCTTTAGAAAGGAGGAGGGGATGAGGAGACTATTCTAGATTTAAAAAGACTGAAGAGACGACAAGGACGTACATCAAGTAGAAATCAAATGTAAAAAGACATTTTTTTAAGACACTGGGAAATTTGAAGGTATTAAAATACTCATTTTGTTATATTTGATAATGGCATTTTCCTTTGTAAGAACAAAAATTTTAATGTATACTGAAGTATTTAGGGGTAAAATAATGTGCTTGACATTGGCTTTAAAATACTCCAGAAGAGACATGGGAGTGTGGCAAAATGTTGCGAATTTTTAAAGCTCAGTGAGTCAGGTGTATGGGGATGCTAGTTGTACTCTTTTATGTACAAATTTTAGAAATTTTCACAATAACGTATACGTTTACATAAATGAGATGGCAAATGTTCTAGGTATGTTAAGAGAAGTCTGGAAAAGAGTGTGAGTCCATTTGAGCTTTTGTTATAGTGCAGATTTCAAAAATGTAAAAACAGACCCAGAAAGTTAACAGTGGTAAGTTCTAAGTTGTGGACACAGGTGACTTCTTTTTATGCTTTTCAGTATTTTCCAAGTTTTATTTTTAAAAAGTTTTTCGAGATGTTTTACATCACTATTAACACTCATCAGATAAACTTTATAGTGATTCACTGGATAAACTGAATAACGATAAAACTTAAAAAAGATAGTTTATATCAAGGTAGCTCTTGATATAAAAAACTGGAATAATTGTTTGTAAAACTGTGAGGTAAAGTTGTAAAACCATCCATTGTCCTTAAGTTTCTTTCCTGCAAAGCTGGAATGAATGTGATTGTTTATCAACTGTTAAAAGTACAGGATGAGGCAGGCGTGGTGGCAGGAAAGGTACAAAAAAAACCCCTACTGTTCCCGGACTTCAAATCTAGCTGGAAAGCCATTAAAATATGTACTAATGTAAGAGACCGTAGAGAGTCACAGGACCCGCCCTACCTGCTAAGAGGCGGGGGAGTGGGGCGCAGACGCCCACCGCCGCAGGCGAGGGAACGAGGGTCTCAGCCAATGGTCTCAGGCCGGAGGGAGCGCGGCGGTGACGTCCTGATATCCGGGGGGAGAGCTTCCCTGGCCGGGCGCTCACCGCACTTTGGATCTTAATTGGGACTTTATCCCTCGGCGGTGGCTGGACTTTAGGACTCTGCAGCCAGGTCTGCGTCGTCGTGTCGGGTCACAGGTGCTGGCGACTCTTCCTCGGGATCCTCGGACCGCGGGCCTGCGCGGTGGGACCGCGGGACGCCACCATGGACGGGACGACCGAGCTGCTCTTCTACGTGAACGGCCGCAAGGTGAGCGCGCCCCGGGGCTGCCCGGCCGGTCCCGCCGGGCCTCCCCGGTGCTGGAGCGCTGCTCACGCGCCGGGCCCTGGGCTGCACGCGGGTTTGCCTGCGCGTCGGGGCAGGGAAAGGATGCGTCTTAAGGGACTGCCTGGATCTTTGGGTTCCGCCTTCCTCATGTTCCTTTCTCCTCTCCTTCCAAGACGCACGGTATCAACCGCACCCCACCCCATAAACAGGAAGAGAAATGACTGTCCTTGTTCGGCAGAGTCAGCACTCCCAAATCTTCCCTCCGTAAGACCCATCCCCAAACGGGAACGTCTTTCATTAGGCCTCAGCTCTTGGGTGTGTTTGGATGAGCAGAGAGCGGCTTGGAGTCAGGACAGGACCACAGAGATGAATTCATTGAGACCTCTCACTCCCATCGTTTCCAAAGTCACAGCTAGTTCCTGGCAGCACTGAGCCGACACCCTCCTCTGGGGACTCGAAGGCCCTTAGTGGGTCCACTGCTGGCGCGGCAGCTGCCCTCTCAGAAGCCGTGCTGGCTCTGCAGATCCTCTGGGGCAATTCCAGCGATTGTCCGATGTTTGGAGGCAGCAAAGCGCCCGGGGAATCCTTTAAAACACTCCCACGGACGTGACCATAGATTGCTCACTCTTCATGTTGTCCCAGCATATTGCCGCCACTTTGCAAGGGGGAAACTGAGGCAGGAGTGTTAAAGGGCTTCCTTAAGAGCAGACAAAGGAGCAAGGGCTGTGATAGCGGCCTTTCCACACGCCGGCGCCTTCAGAGCCGCCCTGTGATCCCTGCTTCTGGGCCGGGATAGGCCGACTTTCCCTGACTGGCACAGGGACTCACCAGAAAGCTAAGGAAGGTCAAGCATCAGGGCCTCTCACTTGTGAGGCCTCTTCTAAAGCCCTGAGCCTAGTTTCGCATTTGGATTTTGTATTATTTTTCTTAAAGAGGACTCCCTCCCCCAAACTGTGCAAGTTCTAGGCCCTATAAAATCTTCCTCTGTTCCTGCTGCCTGGATTCCACCCTGGGTAAAATGAGCTTGTTTTTCCTGAACTGTGTTGGGGGCCGTTAGGACCCCCTCGCAGGACTGCTATGAGCGTGAACCATGATAAGGGCGAGGATGGCAGATGGGAGTTGGGTTTGAAGTGATCGCGTGATGTCGTTTTATTTTTCTTTTGCATAACTGAATGGTATAGTAGACACAGCTCTGGCCTTTATATTTGGACAAACAAGTATTCATTTCCAGCTCCAGTTCTTATGGAGACAACCTAACCTAGCCTCAGTTCCTCTGTTAAAGAGAGATAATACTGCCTACTTCACAAAGAGTGATGGTGAGTTTTTAATCCGTTTATTTAAGGGCCTGCTATATGCCAGTGTTCCAGTGCCCTCAGGGGACACAACAGAAATGACCAAGTCCCTGTCTGCACGGAGTTTATGTTGTGCTGGGGAGACAGAAGACAAGCATATAAATAAATAGAAATGTATCAAGCCAGGCAGTGATAAATGCCAGGATAAAAAATAAAGCAGAGTGAGGGGCCGGAGAGTGGCGAGAGCTGGTTCTTCAGGCGGGATGGATGTTTAAGACTTTCTGAGAGGCTGACATTTGAGTGGTGGCCAGTATGAAGTGAGGAACAGACGTCTGAGGGAAAAGCATTCCAGACCGAGGGAGCGGAGGTGCAAAGATCCTCAGACACGAGGATTTCTTCATGCTCGGGGGGGTTAGCGAGGAGGCCGGTGGGGCTGGAGATGTGGCCAGGGGCTTTGGAGGAGATGGTAAGGGTTTTGGTTAAAGGAGGAAACAGGTGTTTGAGTCTAGCTTCTTCTCCCCCTCCTCCCTCCCCTGCTCCCAAACAAACTGTAGTGGAACTTGTAACAGAATGGCTAATAATAGTTTGTGCTCTGTTGATTTTTTTTTTTTTTGCGGTACACGGGCCTCTCACTGTTGTTGCCTCTCCCGTTGCGGAGCACAGGCTCCGGACACGCAGGCTCAGCAGCCATGGCTCACGGGCCCAGCTGCTTCGCGGCATGTGGGATCTTCCCAGACCGGGGCACGAACCCGCGTCCCCTGCATCGGCAGGCGGACTCTCAACCACTGCGCCACCAGGGAAACTCGTGCTCTGTTGATTTTTAAAAATAGATAAGCTGGTTCTTATCTATGGGCTTGTTTTATTTATGAGCCAAAAGTCCTGTGATCATTTGGAAAGTGCAGGCTAGAAATATTGATTTAGTTTTTGCAATTACCCTGTTAAAAGAGATTATGTCACCCCTTCCCTTTCCTGCCCCTCCCTTCCAAATTCTGTTAGGTGTGTGCTTCAATCCCAGCAAGCAAGCCTGATTGCCACATGGATAGAATTAGAATAAAGTCTCTGGTTCAGAGGGCGAGTGGATGTCGAGAAAAGTGAGAGAAGAAAGCCACCAGGAGAGGGGGTCTTGAAGTCAAACATAACCTCTGGGATTAAAATCCTGCCCTTGAAAGGAAGCTTTGAAGCCAGTTAGGAGACTCTGGGTGATGTGATTGGCCTCCAGTCTGGGTTTTTTGCAGAATCCCCCCAGGTCACCAAAAGGTGTCGTTGGGCAGGGGCTAAGGCCATGCAGGTTGGTCAGAGATCGAGCTGCAGAGAGATTTCTGAAATCTTACTCGCTTCACCAGCAGCCTCCAAAGCAGGTGACTCAGTTAACATGGAGTTTGCGGGAGGCAGAGCCCAGGAATAAGTTACATCCTAGATGCCACTCTCAACACATCTCAGGAACCGTAGCAACTCGTTTTATGAAGCAGTGAGGTGTAGAGATCAAAGGTGTGGGCTTTGGAAATGGTTAGGCGTGGATGTGAGTCCTGTGCTGTCTGCTCTAACGCTCAGCAGCTCTGGGGCCTTGAGCAAGTGTCCTCATTGGTTGTCCCCTCAGGCCTCTTTCCGTCTTTCTCTCCTCGCCATGTCCCACAATACACACGTCTTCTGTCTTCTTCCTCTCAGCTTTCCTTATTTTCTGTTCTTTTACCCCTTTCTCTCTCCTCCTGATCTCTTTCTCTTTCTTCTTTCTGCCTCTGTCTTGTATCCGGCAAGGCCCCCTTCATGCACTAGTCACAAGCCCTGCACAGAGGAAAGTGATTTGTCAACCTTGTGCAATGTGAACTTATCTCCCAAAGGGCCAGTGGAAATACAGAGGGACACATGCCACCCTTGCAACATGCAAGGCTTTACTGAGACAAAAACATGCAATGACCCTGAGCTGAGAGCTGGCATCATTTCTCCCAACCAGAGTCAGTGAGAATAACTCTGTTCCTCATTCCCTCCCTCCCTCCCCACCCCCTGCCAGCTACCATCTGAGTCCTGACCTCCCTGTTTCACTCCAAGACCTGCCGGGACAGGGTACATGCCAGATCCCTGCCCCACTTCCCTCCTCCAAATGTGCCATCCACCAAATCAAGAAAAGTAAACACATTTCAAGCCAGGGGCACTTTGAGCCAAAGTCCGATCTCTTGAGACATCTCCGGGAACAAATACCCAAGCAAGCAAGGCCTGCTCTTCCATTAATTCCTTATGAAAATACAAATCTCTCTCAAGCCTAAAGTGCTCTTTATTACCCAGATCCTGTCTCTCCATTAAAATTGGGCTTCTGAGGATTCATCATCATATGTATGAATTAGAATTAGTTTCACCTGCAAATGGCACAAATTCAAAACTAAGTAGTTCAAAAAAGATATAATTCATGTTTACTTTTACATAAAGGATACTGTATCTGGGGATAGACATTGCAGAGCTGGTCTAGAAGCTTCTTGGTGTCATCTGAGACCCAAGTTTCTTTTCTTTTTTTTCCCCTGTTGCCGTTAATGTGTTGCCTTATGGTCTAAAATGGTTGCTGGCATTCTAGCCACGTCATCTTTATTACAGGCAGCAGGAAGGAAGAAATGGAGAAAGCATGCTGAGGTAGACAATCAGTAGTTTGTGCCACCATTACTGGTTCTTCTGTTTTTCTTTCTTTTCTTCTGTTTATAAGTCCCAGCCTGTGAGAAATCATCCCTCCTTTCTTAGTGTTGTCATAGCAAATTGTACATATCAAGTTATTCATTTAGATTAATTAACATTTATTATGTCCTTGTCATATATCCCCAGCACCTAGTTCAGTGTTTGACATAAAGAATAATGGAAGGTGGTTTCTCTCAGGATCAAGAGAGGCTTATACATAAACAACTAATTATGCTGCAGAGTAACACGTTCTGTGAAAGATGTGTAGATGTTGACCATGGGAGCACAGAGGAGGACTGTTTCTTGGAGCAGAGAGTGGGAAGGATATATTAAATGGCAGCAAATCCCACAGGAGAGAACACTTGAGCAGGGCTTTGAGTGGCAAACAAAATTCTGCTAAGTAGAGAAAAGAGGGAGGACTTTCAGGACAGAGGGAATCCTATAAGCAAATGTAGTTAAGGGTAAAAGTCCCTGCACTGCTGGGACCAGCCAGTTCTCCCATGTGACCAGAGTTCAAGATGCATGGGTTGAATGACAAATGATGGAAAGTTTCTCAAAGAGGCCTTGTAGGCTATGCTAAGGAGTTTGAATTTCTTCTTGTGTTCCAGGAGCTCTTGACTAGAAATTCACCTAAGACCCACTCAGTATATTCATTAAAGATGCACATTTTCTGGTTCCCTCTCCCAGAAATCCTGATTCGATAGGGGTTTCATTTTAACAAGCACCCTGAGTGATTCAGGAATTCCCAGCAGAGCAGTTTGGCATCCAGGAGCCAGTGTTGGATTTAGGCAGATACAGGACATGATCAGACTTGGATTTTAGAGAGGTTGCTCCAGTGGTGGTATAGAGGGGGGGCATTGCAGGTGCCCGGAATGGAGGCAGGAGACCTGTTAGGCAACTGTTATCATTGTTCAGGCTGGAGGTAATAAGGGTGGATTTCAGGGAGTGACAGTATAAGTGAAGGGTGTTTAGAGAATCGTTTTGGAAGTTTAAATGGCAGGACTTGGTGATGCTTACTGTGGTGGATTGAAGGAAAGAAAATGTCGCAGATAGCGCGGTTTTTTAAGCTTAGGTGACCTAGCAGATGGTAAGGCTATTAAACAAGTTAGGGAAAAGAAAGGAAGAAGTAAGTTTGGGAAATAAAGAGTTCCATTTGAGGACCAATTTAGTTAGGGATGCCTGGGGACGTCCCACAGTTTTCCTTGTATTCTAGTATGTACACACACACACACACACACACACACACACACATAATCACTTGTCTGTTACCATATTGCACATTCCTCTAGGGCACAGATCTGACCTTGGTAATTGGCACGTGCCTCACTTTGCCCGGCCTATGGCCACTTAGAATTGAGGGTGAGGAAGCATGTGTCCCCTTGTCACCTACTTTCCAGAAGGGAAAATTAGTATAACATGGTGAAGGATGATTTCTAGTTCTGAAATTGTGAAGCAAATCATGCTTCTATTTGTGAATGTAAAAGAAATCCAAATTTGTCATCAAAAAAGAGAAAACACGGTCACTTTGGAAAACATAACCAACCGTGACATTTCAGTCATGCCATCCATTGGGTGCCCCTGTTCTAACTGCCATGCTGCTAGGCTGCCCACACAAACTTACTTCTTAAGTGTGTCTTTGCTTGCACATGTTTGTATCATCCTTTGTCTCTTAGATTTGGGAGCCATGGTTGGTTGTGATCTCTTTCTGGAAACTGTAATTCTTTGAACATGGTGAACAAATAAGTCTTTAAAAAAAAGCTGTATCAATTTCTCAGAGACTATTCTAGTCCAGGAGACCTCCCCCACCTCTCTCTTTCTCTTCCTCCCGCTCCTATATTCAGTTCTACTGTTATCTTTACCCTCACTTGCCTCAGACTTTCTAGGAGAAGTTGGACAGGAGTCAGTAATGTTTTGTTAGCAGAAACAACCACCGCCTTAGAGAACAGTGATAATTCAGGACCAAGGACAGTGGCAGAGTAGTGGCCGGGGCTCAAGATGTAGACTTCACACTTCAGAGAGGTGATTTGTATATCACAGGTGTTCCGTAAACATTAAATCAAGTTTAGAATATGAGTAGAAGAGCGCATGTTCATGAAATCACCGATGTAAATATTCTAGTTGTCTCAGCTTTGTGAGTTAAACTCTTTCTTTTGGTACAGGTGATAGAAAAAAATGTCGATCCTGAAACAATGCTGTTACCATATCTGAGGAAGAAGCGTATCCTTTGCCTTGAGTGTGCATATGTGTGTATGTGTGTATATCCCTGATATCCTCATCAAGTGTTATTTCAAATATCTTTTTAGAGCCACAATGAGTCATATTCCCTACTGGGGCTTTATGTTCATCTTTAAGAAAGTCCTAGATTGGAGTTTTGTAGGCAGTGAACAATTGTGCTTATCAGAGAACCAAGTTCTTTCTAATCTCTCTTTAGGCATTAAATATATTGAATAAAATGGAGAAGCTAACAATGGGAATTAAAACAATGGGTGCTAAAATGGCTTAATTAAACACCCTTTAGAATTGAGTCACAATATTGATATTCTACCTTCAAGGACTAATCATCGTGCACATTAGAAAAAGAGAGCACAGGAACTTCTCTGGTGGTTCAGTGGTTAAGAATGCACCTTCCAATGCAGGGGTCACGGTTTGATCCCTGGTCGGGGAACTAAGATCCCACATGCGGCGGGACAACTAAGCCCGCAAGCCGCAGCTACCGAGCATGCAAGCCACAACTAGAGAGAGAAGACCACGCACTGCAGTGAAGAGCCTGTGCACCACAATGAAAGATCCCGCATGCTGCAACTAAGACCTGACGCAGCCAAAAATAAAAAATAAATAAATAAACAAGTAATAAAAGTTATTTAAAAAAAGAAAAAGAGAGCACAGAAATCTCCTGAAATGAAAGTGAAAGAACAATAGAGACATTAAACCTGAAAATGTTATCTTGGAAAAACTTTCTCAATAAAAGTCATCTAAGGAATGGATTCTTATCCTGCTACGCATGAACTCCAGTGGGCTTCCAGAGGTCTGTGGACCCCGCTACATTATATGCAAACTTGTGTGACAATGGGAATTTGTACATTTTTCCCCCAGAGAGAGTGAAATTCCCAAAAGAGCACACAACTCAGAAAATATCAATAGCTATCTTCTGAAAGTCATTCAAGGATTTATTATTATTATTATTCTATTAATTTTATTTATTTTTGGCTGCATTGGGTCTTCATTGTTGTGCACGGGCTTTCTCTAGTTGTGGCGAGCAGGGGCTACTCTTTGTTGAGGTGCACAGTCTTCTCATGCTGCAGTGGCTTCTCTTGTTGCAGAGCACGGGCTCTAGGCGCACGGGCTTCAGTAGCTGCAGCACGCGGGCTCAGTAGTTGTGGCACACGGGCTTAGTTGCTCCGCAGCATGTGGGATCTTCCCAGACCAGGGATACAACCCATGTCCCCTGCATTGGCAGGTGGATTCTTAACCACTGTGCCACCAGGGAAGTCCTCGAGGTTTTTGGACATAAAAGTAATTAATACTTATTTCCTGGTTATCCATGGTACCAATGTGATATTTAAGATTTGGTTCACTTGTGAGTGACAGAAAATCCCAATAGCAGTAAACAAGATAGTTTATTTCTTTCTCATTGTGTTATTTCAGGTTCTCTGGGAAGCACACACTAAAAAATGAGATTAAATATTCAAGGGTTTTATTAGGAAAAATGCCTGAGTGAAATAGGGAGGCAGCCATAGAAGACTGAGACCTGTAAGGAAGAGAGGGAGAGAAGACTGAGTAGAAGGGTCTCAGACTGCTGTGCAGTCTAAGGCACGTTCATCAAAGCCACTGAGAATGGTTGACAAGGACTCCCATACCTCTGCATAGCACTGAGCCATTGGTGGGAAGCAGCCCGTGCGAGGCATAGCCTTGATGAAAAGTGGGGTGATGGATATCAAAGTGCAGCAGTTGGCTCTCTTGGTCAGTTGCCCTCTATGTTGAAGGAAGTCCCTGAGGCACATTCTCATGGTTGTCATACTCACATAAAGGAATCCCAAAGGTACGTAGATCCAGGCTAGCAAAGCATTGTCACAACATTATCAGGAACCAAGCTCTTTCTGTCTTGCTGCTTCACCCTCCTCAGCAAGAAGCTTTCTCCTCATGGTCAGAGATAACTCACTGAGGTCCAGCCATCATATCTGAATTCCAGCAAATAGGAAGAAGTAAGGGATGAAGGAGGGGCACCCCTCTCCCTCTGAGGACATTTCCCTCCTGGACGTCAAAAACAGCCTTTATGCTTACATCCCATTGGCCAACATTGTTAATGACCCCACCAAGCATCAGAGGAGGCTGTGAAAATGTATTTTTTTAATCCTGGGCAACCATGTGTGTAGCTCAAAAATTAAGATTTCTATTACCAAGAAAGAATGAGGGAAAAGGTATTGGGAAACAACCAGCAGTTTCTGCCACTGAGAAGCAGAGAAATATGGCACACTTGTATAACATGACACAAATATTCTAAGAATTATTTACAATTTGACATTCTACTTTGTATGTCATCAAAGACACAGATAAGGATAAGAACAGATATGCAGTGTACTCATACCTTCAAATCCTCAAGGCCTTATATGTGTAGACTCTTCCTCTTCTTAAGTTTGGCCTTATTTTTGGCAACCTGGGGTCCAGTTGTTTTAAAAAGGAAGAGACTAGATATAGCATGCAAATGTAAATCAAGAATTTACAAGATTATAAATAATAGCAGCTAAGACATACATACATTATTTGATAAATAAGTATCAAACTTAACTGTACATTTAAGAGTCTTTGATGGTGTTGTCTCCTAAGGCCAGAGCTATTTCACAAAGAGAATTATGGAAAACACATTATCTTTAACTGTGCTTTTTCCAGTCCGACTCACAGGAACTAAATATGGCTGTGGAGCAGGAGACTGTGGTGCCTGCACGGTGATGATATCACGATGTAACCCCATTACCAAGAGGATAAGGTACCTTGCTGCAAAGTCCAGATATGGTTGAAATTTTGTAGCTTTGAACTTTGTTTTTCTTCTTCCTTTGGTAAATATGCATTGAGCACCTACTATGTGACAGGAACTGTGATAGGCATTGGGGATACATTGACGGGCATCAAATCATTCCGGTTCCAGCAAAAATGTTACATTCTCAGCCCTCCCTGATCACCTTCTCCATAGCAGTGCCCCATCTCACCTCGGCAACTCCCTACTCCCTTCGCCTATATTAAGGTATTCATAGCACTTCTCACCATATGTTTGTGTATGTATGTATCGTCTATGTACCTATGTATTGTCTATCTTCCTCAACTAGAATATATACTCTACAAAGGCAGGGATTTTATCTGTCTTGTTCACCAATGAATCCTAGTGCCTGGTACTCCACCTGGCACACAGTAGGCACTCAATAAATATTTACATTTATTTAATAAATGAAAAATATTCTTCCAGTCTTTCTTTTGTGTGTATACTTAAGGAAGCATACTGCCTATACAGCTTAGAAACCTCTATTTTTTGCTGAACTTCTCATGAGTATCTTTTCAAAATAATAAATATAATTTTAATGGCTGTATATGTTCTGTTGTTTGGGTGTATCAAAACCAACCCCCAAATAGTGATCACTTAGATTATTTTTTGGTTTTCACTATTATAAGGAGAGTGAGCATTCATGTGTATATATATGTTTATATTTGTGTTTCTGATAATTTCCTTATGATAGATCCATGCAGATGGAATTAGAGGATAAAAGAGTGAGTGCGTCTTTAAGTTTTTATGCCTTCCAGCAAAATGTCTCTCAGAAGAGCTCTATCAGTTTACATTCTTTTCAGCAGTATGTGAATTCCATTTTCCCAAACCTTTGCTAATAATGCATATTACAATTTTTTTAATCTTTGTCATTTTCTTGGATAAAAATGATTTTTCATTGCTTAATTTGAATCTCTCCTGATTGCTTTTGAGGTTGAACGTTCATTTCATGTATTTATTGGCCATCTGTAATTTTGTTTGGTAAATGAGAACATTTTAGGAGTCGTTTTGAGTTAGACATTTTCTAGCAGTAGGTTTGTGGGATTGAGGAGTTCTGTATCCACAGCCTATTTCTTCTTCTGAGGCACAATATCCATTTAACTTTATCGCCCAACTAACCCCTTGCCCAGCATCTGCTTGGAGGATGAAACATGCTCTAGGTGATTGTCACAAGTGACTGGAGAGGAGAATGTCAGCCCCTCAATCAAGAGAAAAAAACAACGTTAGTGGAAACTGTTTTTGAGTTAGAATTAGGAGGCCTAATTTGAATCCTGTCTGACACTCCAGCTGTGATCCTGAGCAACTCACTCTGACCCTCAGAGTCTCATTCTGTAAAATGGCCATGAGCTAAGGACAAAATGTATATGCAAAGCCTAGGACATTATACAAAACCTGCCATGTTGGAGGTGCTCCTTTCCCACTGGGTACAATGTAGTTTGTGCTTCTCTTTTTCATTCTGAAGACATTATTCAGCCAACGCCTGTCTGATTCCCATCTGTTCTCTGTATGGTGCTGCCGTCACCACAGTGGAAGGCATAGGAAGCACCAAGACCAGGATTCATCCTGTTCAGGTGAGGATGCACCTCTTCTTCATAGGGTTTCTGTGCTTCGAAAACCATTAATGACATGATGAGTTCTTGAAATTAATACAGTAGATCAATGAGCCCTGCTGCTTGGTCACAGCCAACAGATGACACCAAGCTGGGGGCCAGGAGTGAAACCTGGGACATGTGACTGACTTCTTAGAAAAATACTTTTGAAAGACTAGAGAACTTTCTCTTTAAAAAAAAAAAATCTTGACATCACTTAGCGTTGTTTTCTGTATTCTAATTAGATGGGACCTGTCCATTTTACATTTTCCAAACTTATAAAGAAATGAGAGCCAAGTGCATTGGGGGATATAATCTTAATATTTTTTTTTCTATAAAGAGGAAAATAACATGATTTTAAAGCTGAGTGAAAATCTCAGCTACCAAAAAGATTTGTTAAATTTAGGGCTTGTTCGGAAGATATATAATAGGAGTTGTTAATGAATTTTGAAGCTTTTCTCCTAAGGAGGCACCTTGTTAGAACTTTGCCTCAATGAAAGGGCATCTCAGACTCCTAACTCTTTCAGTTATGTATACATTACCCAGAAAAATGCTGTTGCTACTTGTTTTTATCTAAGTTAATGAGTACCACTTAAGAGGAGAGGGTGGAAGAGGAAAAAGATAGGGGCAACATAGAAAATGGCCAAAGTTCAAATTCTCTCTGCTTGAAGGAATCTTGGGTTCTGTTTATTTTCTATGAAACCTCTTTACCTAGAAGGAGCAGATTCTGCCTGGGTGTGCTTGTGAGACTCGGCTGTTCGGAGGCATGAAGACACCCTTTCATTTAGTACCTGCCGCCCATCTCCTGGCTGCAGTGTAGACAGATGACGGCTTCTGAAATGGGGTTGCACCTTTGAAGTTAGACTCCAAAAAGAACAGGCTGGGGGCTGGGGGGAGATTTGGAAGAGAAATCAAGGCAATGTTTCCTTCTTGATTGTTTTTGGATTAATGATGGCACTTTGTAAAAGAATTCCTGTGTGCTGAAGTGTTAGGGCAATAGTGGGCAGATAAAGGCACTTGGGAAATAAAAGGGTTTTTTCCCCTCAACTTGAATATAATTCAGTTCATTTCTTTGAAGGACTTCCTTTATCTCGGTGATTCCCATTCTGGACTACAGATTGAAACACCTGGGAATCTTTAAAAAATATATGTCTGTGCCCCACCCCAGAGATTCTCAGTCAAATGGTCTGAGGTACTGCTTGGACCTTGGAAATTTTAAAGCTCCCCTGGTGATTCTGAAAGCTGAGAACCTTCAATGAAGCTCAAAAGCTGTTGAGGACCAGTCATCACCACCACCCCAGCCCAAGAAAGGGAGACACCAAGGCTGAGAAGGATTTTCCAGGGCTTCTTCTCCAACTTTAATGTGCATGTGAACCGCCCAGGGATCTTGTTAGAATGCAGGTTCTGATTCACTAGGTCTCGGGTCAGGCCCAAGATTCTGCCTTTCAACCTTTCTGTGCTTCCAGGAGAGGATTGCCAAGTGTCATGGCACGCAGTGTGGCTTCTGCACCCCTGGGATGGTGATGTCCATCTACACGCTGCTGAGGAACCATCCAGAGCCCACCCTGAGTCAGTTAACTGATGCTCTTGGTGGTAGGTTATATGTGTGTGTGCTTTAATTTTTAAATGATGTTGATAATGATAGCTAACATTAGCCATTTATCAGGTGCCACACACTGCATTAAGTGCTATATAAACATTACCTCATTGACTCTTTATGCTAACTTTATAAGGTAGGCATTATTATTATCCCCCATTTCATAGATGGAGAAACTGAGGTTTAAAGAGAGTAATTTACTAAAAATTATGTCACCAATAAGTGGAGGAGTCAAATCAGGATTCAAACACGATCCACACATTGCACTTGGCTGATATATTTCTCAAGTCTCTCTTTTTTTTTTTTTTTTTTGCGGCACGTGGGCCCCTCACTGTTGCGGCCTCTCCGTTGCGGAGCTCAGGCTCCGGACGCGCAGGCTCAGCGGCCATGGCTCACGGGCCCAGCCGCTCTGCGGCATGTGGCATCTTCCCGGACCGGGGCACGAACCCATGTCCCCTGCATCAGCAGGCGGACTCTCAACCACTGCGCCACCAGGGAAACCCTCAAGTCTCTCTTAGTCTATAAGAGTCTCCTCCCTTTTTTATTGTTTGCTTATTTTAATAATAATTACAAAGCCAGTTTTTTCATTTACCCTTAGAAAGGGTCCAGTTATCTCCACATGCTGCTCTCTCCTATTGGGTGCGTGCTCTCAGGGCAATATGAAGTTATCAGAGGGCTCATGATGAATACAACATGAAATCAAAGAGACTGACATCTTCTGGTGATACTTATTTCAAAGAGCTGTCTTTATCTGGAGGTAGTTTATCAAGTTCAGGAGCTCAGTGTGTGTGTGTGTGTGTGTGTGTGTGTGTGTGTGTGTGTGTGTGTATGTGTAGTGGGGGATGGGGTGCGCATTGGAGGAGGCCTTCATTAACAAGACTCTGAAAAATTCTAAAGAATAAGAGCCTCCCAAATCCTATTTCTGGTGAAATTCTTCATGGCTCTACTTGTCTCCTGTCTCCCAGGGACCTTATTTCTCTGCCGTGTTACGTGGGCCTAAAGCTCATGTGTTCAGCTCCTCTGCGAAAGTGTTCCAGGGAAGACAGGACTAAACAGAAGTAGAAAGGGGAGGTGCATAAGACACAAACTGTCTTCTGCCTTATTTCCCTTAAGTCGTCTTATGCATTTGATCTCGTGGCCGTTTGTGATGTGAACAAGTGACGAGGGGTTCTCAAATTTTCAGGTGCTTAAGACTTACATAGGAGTTTGGAAAGAATGAAGATTCCTGGGACCCAACCCCAGACAGCTGGCTTCAGTGGCTTTGTGTTTTAAACAGATGCCAGGTTTGGGGGTTGGAGGAGAACATGGGATGTGGACCACTGTGGAGGAGCACTGGCCTAATGATTTATTGTAAATAAATTGTGTGCCCAATTGCTTCCAGAGTTTAAAAGTTATCTTTGCTGCTGTATAATGCCTTTGATCTTTCTATCAACTGCAGCTTAGCTCTTTTTTTAAATACCAAAAAAGATGATGTACAATGTAGCTTTATTTACATTGTCTTTTACTGCATATGGAAAATAAAATTTTTTTATTGAAGTATAGTTGATTTACAATATTGTGTTAGTTTCAGGTGTACAGCATAGTAATTCAGTATTTTTGCAGATTATATTCCATTATAGGTTATTACAAGATAATGGGTAAAATTCCCTGGGTTATACAGTAAATCCTTGTTGTTTATTTTATAAATAGTAGTTTGTATCTGTTAATCCCATACTTCTAATTTACCTTTCCTCTTCCTTCTCCCCTATGGTAACCACAAGTTTGTTTTCTATGTCTGTGAGTCTGTCTCTGTTTTGTATATTTGTATTATTTTTTTAATTCCACATATAAATGATATCATACAGTATTTGTCTTTGACTTATTTCACTTAGCATAATATTCTCTGGGTCCATCCACATTGCTGCAAATGGCAGTATTTTATTCTTTTTTTATGGCTCAGTAACATTCCATTATATGTATATATACTACATCTTCTTAACCCAGTCATCTGGTGATGGGCATTTGGGTTGTGAAGCTTAGCTCTTGAATGTGCCCATAGACCAAGAGTTCTTGGCTTGAAATCATTGTGTTCTTTGAGCACCTATCACAAGCAGAGGATATAAAAACTGTTTACAGAGAGAAAGTACAAATAGCTGAGTTGTTAGACTACCTCAAGACTATCAACCAAGTATCCCAAGTAGCTGACAAAAAAAAATCCGACTTTGTGGATTTGGGGACCAAAATGTCAAACAGGGCTTCCTTCTTGGATGGGGTCCTTATTTCCAGCATGCATCTGGCAGACGGTGCCTCTCTCTAGGTTCCTTGATTAACAGAGTTGGGTTTTTCCCCTCCAGGTAACTTGTGCCGTTGCACTGGATACAGGCCCATAATCGATGCATGCAAGACTTTCTGTAAAGTGAGTAGAAAGGAACACGTTTTTGAGTATATTTTTTCCTCAATGAAACAAAATGGTGCAGGTTGGCAGGTGTGATTAGGAGAATAGCCCATTTCACTAATGCAGGGCTACTTCTTATCTCAAGGTCCGTAATTGCTGTTTGTTACTTGATCTTGAGCAGGGCGCCTACCCTGGTTCATTGAGCTTGCCCTGGTAGCCACACAGGCAGCACCTGAGCACTTCGACATTGGCTGTGGGTCATTGTTCCAAGGGGTCTTAACTGACCTGCTTGTCTGGGTTGGGTACCCTGCCCCGCTGCTCCCGCACCCCTATCACAGCGCTGGGCACACGGTGGTGCAATTGCCCATTTGCTCTTCCGTCTCTTCACCAGAATGTGGTCTGCTTGACGCGGAGGCTGAGTCACTGTGCACCAATGGAATTAGGCACTCAATCGATGCTTGTTGAATGAGTAGATGAACAAACAATGTTGAAATGAGGGACATAAGATGGCCCTTTGGAATTTAAATGATGAAAGCAGTGTATCATAAGAACAGAGTGATAATAATAATACTTGTTATTGTTAATATTTCTTTATTAGTAAATTAATAATAAATTAATAAATTATTTCTTGTTAATGAAATATTAAATCAACCATTGTTAATATTTATTGCCATGTGCCAGACTTTGTTATAAGATCTTTACATCCTGGTGACTATAGTAATAATACTGTGTTGTGTACTTGAAATTTGTGAAGAGAGTAGACCTTAAGTGTTATCACCACACACACATACACACACACACACACACACAAATGGTAACTGTGAGGTGATGGATGTGTTAATTAACCTGCTTGTGGTCATCATTTCACAAAGTATACACATGTCAAATAGTCATGTTGTACACTTTAAATATACACAATTTTATTTGTTAATTATATCTCAATAAAGCCAAAACAATATTTAGTAGAATCAACAATAAATTCTTGGTTATTTGTTTTTTTCACCCACTAGACTTCTGGCTGCTATCAAAGTAAAGAAAATGGGGTTTGCTGTTTGGATCAAGGAATAAATGGATTACCAGAGTTTGAGGAAGGAAATGAGGTCAGTGAAATGTAAATTTTTTATAAGGTTTTCTCAGGACATGCGTAGAGACCAACTTACCTTTAGGAAGATTAAATGGTTGCGTAAGGTAGCTAATTTGAGGTGTGCAGCATGTCCCCTCCCCCATTCTCACCCCATGTCTATCAAAAAAAAAAAAAATCTAACCTAACAACTTCATCCCTCACTCCTGATGTTACTCTCGGTCACATACAACTACCTATAGGAGGGAGAACACATTGATCTCTTAGTTTAAAAAAAGCCTTCTTCAAGTCTTTTTTCTAGTGGAGATGTTAGGGAAATGGAAGGGCAGGGAGTGATAAGAGCGGTGGCAATTCAGGGGAGTGTTCTGGCTCTCAGTTGTGTCTCACGCTGCTGCCTCCTGTGCTCCCTCCAGACTCCAAGGAGCACGTGCAGGGGCTGAGGGCTTTGGAGGCCCACCAGCATCTGCACTGAGGTGCTGGTGACCTGGTCTGTGTTAGAGCCCTTGGCTTAGAGCCCAGGTACCATGGCTGACCAGTGGGGTTTTTTGTCTGTCTGTCTCTTCTATGCCTATCTTCCTCTGACCTTATTCCACAAAAGGATTTAAAGTAGGGAGAATTGCCTGATGACAATAACTTCTGGTACTTTCTCTTCTTAAGACAAATCTAAAACTTTTCTCAGAAGAGGAGTTTCTGCCATTGGATCCAACTCAGGAATTGATATTTCCTCCTGAGCTAATGGTAAGTAAGACAAAGTTGAGCTCATCCTAGAGGAATTCACGGTGAAATGCCAGGAAGGATATTTGCTTATGGATCCTCTCGAAAGCTGATTGGCGAATAGGTAATATCCACCTGCCATTCTCAGTCCAAGGTCTAAAGAGTATGGGATCAGGGCAGAGATGGGGGAATGAGGGTGGAGTCACCACCAGGGGACAGTTGAATGTAAGAAGCAGCAGATGGTATGTATTAAAAAATGTCCTGAAAAGACATCACAGCATCTGTAGATTTAGACATGTTTTGTATTTCCGGTTTTGCTGAGTTTTATTCTTCCATTAAATTTTTTGATGAAATTAAGCATGTGAAGTATTTTTAAGCATTGAAATGGATTCTTTTGAGATATAAAAGCACCAAAGGGAGATGTATTGGAATAGTCTCCAGAAGGAGTAAAATATTGCCACATTTTATCTTGTACTCTGATTCCTAGTAAAGCTCTACTTTTAGGTGACTTTTATTTTATTTTATTTTATTTTGTTTTGTTTTTTCCAATGATGATTTTTTTTAATATTTATTTATTTGGTTGAGCTGGGTCTTACTTGCAGCGCATGGTCTCCTTAGTTGTGGCATGTGAACTCTTACTAGTGGCATGTGGGATCTAGTTCCCTGACCAGGGATCGAGCCTGGACCCCCTGCACTGGAAGCGCCGAGTCTTATCCACTGCGCCACCAGGGAAGTCCCACTTTTACTTTATTTTTTAATTTTTTTATTTTTTTGCGGTATGCGGGCCTCCCACTGCCGTGGCCTCTCCCGTTGCGGAGCACAGGCTCCGGACACGCAGGCTCAGCGGCCATGGCTCACGGGGCCAGCCGCTCCGCGGCATGTGGGATCCTCCCAGACCGGGGCACGAACCCGCGTCCCCCGCATCGGCAGGCGGACTCTCAACCACTGCGCCACCAGGGAGGCCCTACTTTATTTTTTAAAAAGATCTCTATCTCCTGTCTCTGTTCCTGTAAAGACAGAGAAGAAACAGGTGGAAATATTATCACGAGACGATCTTGAATCTTTACTGCTTTTTCAATAGACAATGGCTGAGAAACAACCACAAAGGACCAGGATTTTTGGTGGTGATAGAATGACATGGATTTCTCCAGTGACCCTGAAGGAACTTCTAGAAGCCAAAGTCAAGTATCCCCAGGCCCCGGTTGTCATGGGGAACACCTCTGTGGGTATGTAGATCCCCAGGGACTTCTTATGAGGAAACTGAGGAAAAGGGCTTTGGGGAGGAGAAAACCTCATATATGCATGTTCTCAGAAAAAGCAGTCTGAAATAACATTTTGAATTATTTATACTTGACTTCCCTTGAGCACTGCTCAAGAGACTTACAACTTCATCACATAAGTGAATTCCTGTTGCCCTAACCGGAGCAGTGCACAGAGCTGTACCCAAGAGGCCTGCTCTGTGACAAATTAGCAGCAGCAGCTCCAGTGACAGCTGTCCTGTCTTTCCATGTAGAGACTGATCTGGGGCTGGTATTTGAAATTGCTGTTTCCTCTCTCAGTGGTGTCTCAATGGCCATAATAGGTTTTCTTAAGCTGCAGTGACAGGCTCTTTCTATGGTGTCCATTGTAAACTCAGTTTGACTGCCTACTTCTTTGAGGAGTCTCCTAGAGTCTTCCCAAGGAGAATTTTGAGTATACCACAAGTGGTCTTGGACGTGTCTGCCAAGTTTTAAGGCTGACGAGTCCAAAGAGTTCCCCAAGTTTAGTGAAAATCCACCCGTCCGTTCTCTGTGTGTGTGATTTGGCAATAAACAGACCAATAGATATGTAATTTTTATATATTTAAAGACATCAGTTTTAATCACAATTTCAAAATTTAAAAGGCAGTTATCCCCCCTTCATCTCAGTCTGCTTATTTTTTTTTCCTAATCCTTCAGGGCCTGACATGAAATTTAAAGGCATCTTTCACCCAGTTATAATTTCTCCTGATAGAATTGAAGAACTGAGTGTTGTAAACTATACAGATAATGGTGAGTTCTTAAGGTCCCTATTTTCTTAGTTAAAATGCATTAATCAGCTTATTTGCTTTGCTCAGCAGACAAGCAAAAAAAGTCTTATTCATAATTAGAATATACAGAGAGACTCCCTTGTAAGGTGATAACTCTGGAGGAGGCTCAGGGAAGAATTCTTTATGATTATACGAGATACTAATTGTCTGAAGAGTCGGGTTTTCACTGAAGAACTTTTATGTCTGCTGTGTGAGGGAAATGTAACAGCTCTTCAGTGAAGGGTACTGTGCTAAGTGCTGGGTAGAAGATAAAGAGAGCCTTTGCTCTCCAGAAGCACAGTAGTAACCAAACAAGTTTACATATGAAGCAGCTTACAAACTGGCTTTTCCATTTCAATAAAGGAAATTGATTTAATGACAATGATGAGAAGCAATGAAATGTGGGTTTGGAGGCTGGCTCTGGAGTCCAGTTCCTGACCATGTCATATATTAGCTGAAAAACTTAGTCAAGTTACTTAACTGAATCTCAGTGTGTGGGGGGCTATTAATACTTCAAAGCTTTGTTAGAATTCAAGAAGATTCTGTGAAGCATTCAGCGTAGTGCTTGACCCAGTGAGTATTCAGAAAATTTAGCCTCCATGACCTCCATCACTCTCACCCCTGCCTCTGTCACCAGCACCATCACCTCCTTCACCATCATCATTAACACCTCCATTACCAACCACTATTCCCACCGTCACCACCATGACCACCAGTAAGCAGGGTAGCATGTATCTAGCATAAAGATCCCATATCTGTAGTCTAAAATCTAATGGACATTTCCAGGTCAGCAATGATCACATTGCGTTATCTACAAATGATTTCATTTCAGGACTGACCTTAGGTGCTGCCCTCAGCCTGGCTCAGGTGAAGGACGTCCTGGCTAATGTGATCCTGAAGCTCCCGGAGGAGAAGACACAGATGTACCAGGCTCTCTTGAAGCATTTGGGAACTCTGGCTGGATCCCAGATCAGGAACATGGCTGTATGTATCTGACGACTGTAACATCTAGTATGTGTCCCATGAATGACTGTCCCTGATAAATCATGACATTTTCATTCTTTTGGAACAGACAGAAAGAATAGTTTTCCAAAGTCTTGCTTGATTCTTATTTTACCACTTGTGTCATTATAATTACATAAGTGGAGTGAAAATAACCCATTATTTTAAAAAGTCTTTAGGGGGCCACATAGTGAGCAGGCATCCAGATTCGGATCTGAACCCCCTCCTGGCTGTGGGCAACTGTACCCTCAACTTGCTATCAAAAGGTAAGTGACAGCTCCTTCTTAGGGACTATTAAACCCTGTTCCTCCTACCCTTTTGCCTCTCTAGGGACGCAGGAAGTCCAGTTTTGAAAATTACTCTCCTTTATAATATTAATAATTCCTCTGCCTTTCTGGTTGCTTGGAAAGTTGGTCAGTCTGGTCCTAAATGCACACACACCCAATGTCTTCATCTCTTTCTTTCTGAGGACTTGTGCTAGATGTTTTCCCATACTGGTCACCTGACATCGACCAGTGTTGGCTAGTGTCCCGGTGTGATCTGAATAGTGGAGAGAACTCTAGGCTATTGACAACGACTGGGCCCCTTTGTCAAAGACTTTCTCCAGGTGGTACAGGAGTATGTGAGACCCACGTCATGCTATGTGCTCATGCTGTCATTGATGGAAGCCTGCAGACCTTTTTCTATTGAACAGTGGTTGGGCTTCATTCTATATTTATTTACTTGAGTTTTGTTTTTTGAAAGTAAATCCAGGACTTTTCAGTTATTTCTTTTATTTTAACTTTGTCGACAATTATTAGGAAGTTTTCATTGGTCCTCTGTACATCCGTTGTTTTTTTTTTTCATTTAGAAATATGTACTAACTTTCTGTTACCTGCATTGTTAAATGCCTACTCTTCATGTCATCTAAACCACAAAATTATCTTAAGGAAGAAGGTGTACATTCAGTTATCAATTTAAGTAACATCCTTTAAAAAATCATTTATTGAGAAATAGGTTTTGTGATGTAAATATGAACATCAAATGCTTCTTAGCTTTATCCCGAAGTCCTATTTCATTATAGCTTTAAACGGTTCCTCCCCCCAATATACTGATTAAAGAACAGAAATTCTTTTGGTGCTGAGAAAAGATATAAACAAATAAGACTGCATCCCACTAGTATAAAAGTTCATTAAAGGCAATTTATTTATTCACTACTGTATCAAGTAGGGTTCTTGGTTATAAATAAATGTTTGTTGAATGACTTTATTAGAATATCAAAAGGGATATTAATGTCCTCTCCCTTCTTACAAAGCTCAAAATGAATCATGCTGTTCAGAAAGAGTGCCAAGGTCCGACTCTACCTGACCTCTGGTCTACTCTGCTAGATATTTTTATTTATAATCAAGCAAGGAAGGCAAAAAAAAAAAAAAGGTGGGCCCTAGATGGGAAGAAACATTGCAAGATGCCATTTCATGGTGAAAGATTTTTAAACATAGGAAGAGCACTTTTTTCCTCAAACAATAAATTTCCTGTGATATTTGGTAGAATTATTTCCCAAGTTTTGGGAGTTTGATTGTTTAATAGAACAGATTCCAGGGAAAGTGTCATTTCTTTCCACAGAAGGAAAACGACAGATTCCTTTAAATGAGCAGTTTCTCAGAAAGTGCCCCAGTGCTGACCTTAAGCCTGAAGAAATCTTGATCTCAGTGAACATCCCTTATTTGAGGAAGGTGAGAATGTCCTTTCAATTTCTTGGTTTTACTTGTGAGTGCACAGCTTGTTAATTCCAACATAGGGTGGGTTAAGAAAAGGTGTTGAGCGTTTGCAGTGGAGAATATGAGGATTTGTGAATAGTTAGGTTTCACTTGTGTTATATACCCCCCATCATTGCTAGAATCTGGAGACCTTTGACTCTACCTTCCTTCCCAACCCTGCCCACCACCTCTCTTTCACTCTCTGTGTCTCTTTCTCCCTCCCCACCTTCCCCCCACCCAAACCAACCTCTAAAGTTACTTTCTTACAGATTTTTAAAAATTCTTTGTACCATGAGGCTTTTTCCTAAATAAGACTTAAAACTATACTTCTGCTTATATCTTGAGGTTTTGAAGAGGCTATAAATTTGCAATAGAACTTAATGGTAAGAAGAAGGGCTTTGGAGTCAGACTCAAGAGTGAATCCTAGTTTTAGACCTACTTTGACCCTGAGCTCATTACTGAATCACTCCTAATTACAGATGCCTCTTCTGTAAATGCGAATAATCAAGCTTGCCTTGGAGGGTGTATGAATTTGCTAGGGCTGCCATAATAAAGAACCACAGCCCGGGTGGCTTAACTACACTCTTACTTGTGGAGGCTGGAAGTGTGATATCCAGGTGCTGCAGGGTTGGCTTTCCCTTGGCTTTTCTCCTTGGCTTTTAGATAACTGTCTTCTCCCTGTGTCTCCGTGTGCTTTCCCTCTGTTTGTGTCCGTGTCCAAATTTCCTCTTCTTGTGAGGACACCACCATGCTGCATCATCGCCCACCCTGATTATCTCATTTTAACTTAATCACCTCTTTAAAGACCCTATCTCCTGATACAGTCACATCCTGAGGTACTGGGAGTTAGGACTTCAACTTATCAATTTTGAGGGGGGACACAATTTGGCCCATAACAGAGAGTGTGGCAAGGGTCAAATGAGGCAACATAAACAAACTGCCTTGTGCACAGTTGTACCTCAGTGTGCTTTTATAGGTGCCACTTCACTTTTGCTTTCAGTGGGAGTTTGTGTCAGCCTTCCGACAAGCCCAGCGGCAACAGAATGCGCTAGCGATAGTCAATTCGGGAATGCGAGTTTTTTTTGGAGGAGGAGATGGCATCATTAGAGAGTTATCCATTGCATATGGAGGCGTTGGTCCAACCACCATCTGTGCAAAGAATTCCTGCCAGAAACTCATCAGAAGGTATGGATTCATGTCCTTAGCCTCCAAGTAATAGAGCAGCTCTTTCTGTGGTGTCATGTAATTACAAGAAGAAAAATGCTTACTACTTTTCTGTTTAATGACATGGAATTCCAATAAGATCTCATGATTATTCCCATGTGTCTTAGTGAATTCTGAAGTGGACACCATATAGTGTGTGTGTGTGTGTGTGTGTGTGTGTGTGTGTGTGTGAACCCATCTCCCAATAGTATATAGACACAGTAAGCAAAATGAGTAAATCTGCATTCTTTATCATAAGAGAATAATTTACCATTATGAAAGACAGATTATGGGAGTTTGTTTTATAATAACTTGCTAAATGCACATGCATACCTAACTTTTTTATTTCTATACGTAATACTAGTCGCCAGTATTTCTTGAGCATTTACTAGGTACCAGTTAACATTTCAGCAGTAATAGACTAACGGTTAAAACCACGATCTTGATTGAACCACACTGCCTGCATCCAGATCTCAGTTCAGCTCTTATAAACTGTGTGATCTCTTTCAGCTCACTTAATCTTACAGTACCTCAGTTTCCTTATCAGTCAGGGAGATAATCACACCTCGTAGGACAGTTGAGAGGATTAAATGAATGGATACGTATAAGGTACGTAAAACAGAACCTGGCATGCAATAAATGTTCTAGTGATATAGGGAGCAGTTACTCCTGGGCTGAGGACTTAACATGAGTTGTCATTTCTTTCTCACGACCATTCCAGGAGCTGTGTTCTACCATTACTGCCCTTTCAGAGATGATGAACTGGTGGGCCCGGGCCAGACACCTTGAGAGTGGTGGTCTGTGATTTGAACTTGGGTTGCCTGACTCTGGAGTTTGTACTCTTTTTCTGCTGCCTTAAACGGTTGCTATTTGTCTTACAAGCTCACTGAGCCTGTGAGGTAGTGAGTCCTGTTGGGCAAGGAGTCTTCTCTTTTGACGCCCACAGGCGCTGGAATGAAGAGATGCTGGACACAGCTTGCAGGCTGATTCTGGATGAAGTCTCCCTCCCAGGCTCAGCCCCAGGTGGGAGGGTGGAGTTCAGGAGGACTCTCATCGTCAGCTTCCTCTTCAAGTTCTACCTGGAAGTGTCACAGATTTTGAAGAGGATGGTAAGTGGAACTGACCATGCATTACCTTTCCCAGTCTTGGGGGCTCTGGGGATACACACAGTGGCGGCAACAACTCCCTGCCAAATAGCTGTAGAATAGAATAGAAAAGACAACCCAAATCGGAGACTCACGGGCTTGCTGGGCGTATGGCAGGCCGTCTGTTGATGGAGTGAGTGTTTGGGGAAGAATGGCAAGTAGAACACAGAGTCGTGCGGGATTTGGTTTAATACCACTCAGTTATTTTGTTTCTGACCTGTTGTATGTCTCCATGGTGTTCAGAAACTTGTTAATGATTTGAATATATTTTCCCTTAGGAAAGCGTTTCTTCCACCTGTCGAGGTTTACCTTTGTACGTTTGGCTTTCTTCTCTGGGTTCAGCTTTGTTTTCTCTCACTTGTAAGATGGCAATGGCAGCCACTCCACAAGGTTGTTGAGAAATGGGTCATCATAGGAAAAATGCTTCAGAGAACCATGGTGAAGACTGCCTACTGGTAGTCATAATCACAGTAGTAAGCATCGGGCATTCTTTCACCTGGCCTCCCTTATGACAAACAATTAGAGTTACAAGACTGTTGGCAAGGGAGGATACAACTGAAAAAAGTTTGGAATAAATTTGCTAGACCCAAAGGGAACTTCAGCCATATTGGTTCATTAATCCCAAGCTACAATCAGCGGACCAAACTAGACTAGAAGCCAAGAACATTCCTCATGTGGTATAGAAATTAGTATGATCACTTTTTTTTTTTTTTTTAAATAAAATTATTTATTTATTTATTTTTGGCTGTGTTGGGTCTTCGTTGCTGCATGCGGGCTTTCTCTAGTTGTGGTGAGTGGGAGCTACTTTTCGCTGCGGTGCGTGGGCTTCTCACTGTGGAGGCTTCTCTTGTTGCGGAGCACAGACTCTCGGCACACGGGCTTCAGTAGTTGTGGCATGCAGGCTCAGTAGTTGTGGTTTGCGGGCTCTAGAGCACAGGCTCAGTAGTTGTGGCACACGGGCTTAGTTGCTCCGCGGCATATGGGATCTTCCCAGACCAGGGCTCGAACCCGTGTCCCCCTGCATTGGCAGGCAGATTCTTAACCACCGCGCCACCAGGGAAGCCCTGGTATGATCACTTTAAATTAGAGGCAGAGTTCTCGCTTATCATTGCTTCTGAAGGTATCTTCTCATTATATGTGAGAACCAAGAGCCAGAACACTTGTATCAAAGTTTTTAGAGTAGAAGCTTGAAATCATATATAAGTGACATATTGTCACTAGGTAATCAAAAGAGAAAAAGTAATAAAGCCAACTATACACTCCTCCAATTAATAGCAAACTAATACAATTTATTGGATGAATCAAATGATATAAATTACAGCTTCCATCTTGTAGTCTTTTACCTTCTATTCAATTTCCTCTATTAATATTCCTCTGCTATTAAAAATAATAGCCTTTGTTGGCTTTAATTTTCTGTTAAAAATTTAAAATTGTAAAAAATAGCCATTAGGTGCACTGTTTGAAGTCTTGCCTAAGGACCAAACTGACCCACTTTTCCTCAGCTCTAGGAGGTGTTCCTCCTGGGGCCCCAGAATGCTTACTGCTGTGAGGTTGTGACAGAGATGCAGCCCGCCGCAGTTTCTCTTCTTCCTGATTGGCCAGGCGGTACAAAGCAGAGCTTGATGCTCATTTGCAGTGGTGTACCTTGGCTCTGACTTTTTCCTGGCTTAACTACTCTCTTCCTTTCCAATCATTTACTTATAGCTCCTACTCTCCCGTTTTATTGGTTTGTAAGTCCTCAAATCATTTAGGGAGGCATGTGGAAGTATCATAAGAAACTTAAAGGTATTGGGAGTCAGTAATCTACTGTTTTCATGTGGCTCTTCATAATATGTGGTCATATGTGTGGACCTTCCAGAGTGTGTGTCCTGGAGGTCAGGGAGAACCCTGCTTCTACTTCCAGGATTCTGAATTAGGGAAGTACTTAACAAATTTAGACTTCACAGTAGAGCTGCTTGCTAAGAGCCATGTTAGCCTCCCTCCCAAGACCATCGTGGCATATTTTAAATATCTACAGTGGTTCTACTTTTCAGGACCCTGTTCACTATCCTAGCCTTACAGACAAGTACGAGAGTGCTTTAGAAGAGCTTCATTCCAGACATCACTGGAGAACATTAAAGTACCAGGTTAGTGGCTTTTTTCTTCTTTTTAATTCAGAGGTCCTGGGCTAAAGCTTCTTCACTTATCTCTCAGCGATTGTCAAGATGTATTAGCCCGAGCTCGCCTTCTGGTGAACCCGCAGCCTTCTTTACTGTTAAGTAAAATTTCAAAATCAATGCAGTATTGTGATTAAAAATAAAGCTAGCAGTGGTAATTTTTTTAAATGTCTGTTTTCAACTTGAGGACTGTGTGTTTTGTTCTGTGGCCTTGTACCACTGACATGAACAAGCTGCCTAGTTTGCCATATGCTCTTGGCCTTGGCATTGTGGAAGTCAGAACACAACAAAAGGCAGAGCTGCTGATTTATTTTGCTTGGATGTGGAGATACTCTGCTCCCCCAGTCCCCATTCTCCAAGTGTTTTCTCTGTGAGTTAGAGTTTTAGAGTTGAATCAAACGTAAGTTCTAAGAGCTAATTTCAAGGTCTCCTAATGAAAGCTGGCTATTAGAACACAAGTCCTCATAACTTTCAAACAGAATTTTCAGCTACAACATCATAAGAGTATCGCCTGAAGTCCTCCTGTTGGTAAACTAGATAAGATTCAGTGCTTCTCCTTGAAATTGTTATCAAGAAACTTTACCTTGAGAGTTTTATTAAGTCAAGAGCATGAAAAGGCTTTTTAAAGATGCTTTTTAAATAGATTCAGTTCATTGGATCTATTGTTGAATTTAGTTATAAAAGCTTACAGTATGTCATAACAAACAGTTCCCTGTTGGTATATATCTCTTCAGTTTTTAGGTTCAATATATTCAAAATCCAAATATGCCAAACTCCATTGAAAGTGTTGAAAGTGATCATTTTGAAAGTCAAAAATAGCTTCCCTCTTCCCCGGTGTAAGATACGACCACTGCAACGTTTGGCTCATTTATAAATACCCTAACACTGCCTTGACCATGGAATAAACTTCAACAACCACGGGAACAACAACAAATTAATGGGCTTTCAAATCATCCAAAGAAAAGTGATAATCTTCACATAGTTTGTTATTATAGATTGCAAGATCAAGTTTTGGAAGTAGTGTATCTCTCACATATATGTTTTATTTTTGTTTTTCCTCTGGGTTTTCACACATACACACACGCGTGCGGGCACACACACACACACACAAATACCCACATTGCTAGAGGAACTTCAGCAGTCATGACCAATATTTTTTTTCCCCAAATCAGTTAATTTGCTTAAAAGCCTTTTGACAGAGATCACCAGTTAGAGGAGACAACATTCTTTCCTCCGTGGTATCTTTAGCCATATAACAAGCACAAGTAAGTAATCAAATACAACCTCTTTCATCAGTAGGTTCATCACAACTGACTTTAAAAAAAAAAAATGTTATAGCTTCAGCTAAATTAATCAATTTTATATTTATAGATATATGTATGAAAGATATATTTTGGGATTTATCTTCAACCTTTTGGCAGGCAGGGCTCACAGCAAGGTTTCAAAACGCTTTTTTCCCAAAGCAGTGATGTGTTTCAGTATTTATAGTAAAAAGTATTATGTCATAGAAAACTCCCAGAGCCTATGTAGAGACCTGTGAATATGTTTCCTTAGTGTCTAAGCTTAGGATTACCTGGAATTTTGCTCTTCAGGATAGAAAAAATCTCTTTGGATTAAAAAAAAAAAAAGATGTGGGTGATTCTTCATTCAAATGTTGTTCAAATGGAGAACTCAACACAGCATTATAGGGCAGCACTTTGGGGGCATTTCACAGCGGGAATCAGTCCCTACCATCTGAAACAAACTGGACCGGATACATGTTTTTCTTTGGATCACCACCTCAGCTTCTCAGAGAAGAGGGAGAAGAAGCCTGCTGAGAGCACTTGGCCGTGAGGATGGGGCTGGTGTGCATTGGAGCTGATTCAAATCCCTGTTCGTATTGCCTGAACCCCAACATGTAAAATTTTCTCTCATTCCCCCCCTTCCCCTACGTTTGTGGCCTAATGTCCACCTTTATTTAACGGTGCCTAGGCCAAGTTCTAAATTATTTTTCTTCATAATCTTCTGCTTTCTAGTTTATAAAGTCAGGATGAACACAACCACCACAAAACAAAACACAAAGGCTTAGCCAATATTCCTTTTTTGGTGCATTGTCTTGTACTAATTACAGAATTGAAGTTTACATTTAAGTGAAGCAAATATGGGCTTTAAAACAATAAATGTTTATCAGTAAGTATATATTTTACTGTAAAACAGTAAATTTTATATGAAATAGGAATAAGTTCAGAGCATCCTACACATATGTCTTATGCCAAATTCATTTGAGAAATGACTCTACTTTCTACATTTAATTGTCAGGGAAAATTTGGCTGATATCTTACTTGTTGTCATTTATAGTATAAAAACAATAGGGTTTTTTTCCTCATTTCTCTAATAACCAATAAAAATGCTGAACGCATTTTCGGATTACATGTGCCACTCTCCTTTTCCCTCTGACAGATCAGAGGTTTCTCCAGGTTCCTGCCTAGAGAACCTCTGATCTATCTCAAGCTGAAGGTTTATTTTTTGAGTCCCTCAAGTAGGTTGGCAGTGACTGACAACCATTCTTCCCAGGTCTCGTGAGCAGCAGAGGGGCTTGGGGAGGTGTCTTTTCACAGATAGCTTTATGTAAAGTTCCCATCGTAACCATGCTGGCTTTCCTCCATTCATGGTATTTGGTAAATGGAATCCAAATGTTCAGAAAGGCAAAGAAAGCAAAACACCTGCATGAGAAGAAAACATGACAGTTGATCAGTAGGATCCCAGACAGCTAGGGTCTTTCCCTTCCATTCTGTGCAGCAAGAGCCTCAGAGCACTTTCGTTGAACCAAGGGAAGCTCTGATTCTGGAAAATCTGCAGCTATGATTGACATGAGCTACCACTCTAGGTGGAATCAAACATCTCATGTATTATCAATATGTAAAATAAGTAGGCTTTCTCAAACTGCACATTCTAGGAATCAAATACAAATGTATTTACTTTTTAAAAATTTCTCAGATGCCTTACATGATGCTGAGCTGGAAACAGGTCAGCTTCTATGGCTTCTTCTCCTCTCAGTAGAGGTGCTAACCAGCATGTGTTCTGTTGGTGCCTTTTCTTTTCTTTTTTTTTTTTTTGCGGTACGCGGGCCTCTCACTGTTGTGGCCCGTCCCGTTGCGGAGCACAGGCTCCGGACGCGCAGGCTCAGCGGCCGTGGCTCACGGGCCCAGCCGCTCTGCGGCATGTGGGATTTTCCCGGACCGGGGCACGAACCCGCGTCCCCTGCACCGGCAGGCGGACCCTCAACCACTGCGCCACCAGGGAAGCCCTATTGGTGCCTTTTCTGTCTTCCCTCCTACTGTGTGATGTAGTGGAGCACTGTGAGCCTCATCTCCAAGAAAGAGCCTGTGCCTCACCCAGGCTCAGGGTGACGCCGTGAAAAGCGGTGTGGAGCAGCAGAGAGGGTGGGAAAGGGAGCCTCCATAGCTTTTTCCGGGCCTTACCTTGGCCAACCCTCCTCCTGCCCGGGTCTTCCTGAGAAAGCCTAGGGGGTCTGGCCTCAGCCCTGGTGCCGGATGCAGTACTGACCCCGCGAGGTGTGGACGGGGCAGCTCGGCACTGCTTTGCAGGCGGCTCCTCCCGCAGAGCTCCAGGCCCCAGAGCTGCCTTCTCCTTTGAGAGGAGCCTTTTGGGAGTGGCCGCTTGGCTGGCAACTTTCCTGGAATTTCCACCTCCCACAGTCCCATCACCGGACCCCTCGGCAGCCTCAGCCTTGCCCCTGGTCTCTGAGCTTGGTCTATACCATGTCTCTTAACCCTTCTTTCTTCATACCTCCAATTCTTTTCCCAACCAAGAAAGCTAACAACTCTCTCATTTTAAAATACTGGAGGAGATGTTATGTTTCTTAATTTCGACTTTGGTTAATGAAGCATATTTAAGGTATACCAGTGGCAAGACATTTTACTCCGTGGGTCTCTAAGAAAAAGTCATATTAGTGAATCATTACTCAAAATGCAGCTTCCTTTGTCTTCATTCTTTATCAGGATTGTCTGAGTTATGAGTCTTACCAATTATTTCTTAGACTTCCTCACTCAAAGAAGAAAATAAAAAAAGCTCTTGTGGTTGAATGCATGCACTTATTTTCTATAAACATGGTCATCAGGCTTTTCTGCAAAATAGTACATGTGCCATGCTTAGCTACAACAGTAAAATAATTTTGATAATAAAAGTTAAAGAAATACATGAGCATTTGAAAAGGACATCATTTTATATTGTCAGGAAGAAAGATTTATATTCATTTACTTACACAAATAGAATTTGTTAGAGATGTTTGTGGTCTATATCAAAATAGTGGGGAAAAAAATAAGAACAACATCATGGCTATACATCCCAGTTTGCCTACTGAATTATTGAAATAGGCTTACTGTCCTGGTGTTATTAATAGTGATGTTTTTATTTTCGAAAATGTTCTGGTTTGGATGTAAATGATGTAGCTCCCCTCTTATGAGAGATGTGCATAATATGATTATAAAAATGATATGTTGATTATTGATTAAACAGAATGCAGACCCAAAGCAGCTTCCTCAAGACCCAGTTGGCCATCCCATCATGCATCTGTCTGGTATTAAGCATGCCACAGGTGAAGCCATCTACTGTGATGACATGCCTGCAGTGGACCGGGAGCTGTTCTTGACTTTTGTAACAAGCTCAAGAGCTCACGCTAAGATTGTGTAAGTGATAAGGTTTTTACCTAGTAGACAGAAATGATTGCCTTTTTTGGCCAAGTCACATTAGTGAAAAGTAACGGTTTGAAGAGGGTAAGCTATTTGTTGGCAATGTCCAATGTATTAGATTTGAAGTGAAATGGGATCAAAGTGTAGACTTCACCACAGTTTGTCCCTCCGTATAATAACTTCATCGTCCCGGGAATTTTTTCCCCATTGTCTGGCATGGAACTATTGGAGGGTTTTGGATGTATCTTCCCTCTCTCGTATCTTATTCTCCGATTAAGAACGTTCTCTGTGGTCTGCAGGCTGCGGGGCCGCTCTGAGTAGCCCTGTTCTGTGTGTTCTCATCTAGGTCTGTGGATCTGTCAGAAGCTCTCAGCCTGCCAGGTGTGGTGGACATCCTGACTGAGGAACATCTTCATGGCATCAACTCCTTCCGCCTTTTAACCGTACCTGAGAAACTTCTATTGACAGATGAGGTACTGCATTTTTGCTTTCTGTTTTAAAAGTAACTTCCTCAGTTTATGACACTTCGTATTTTCTTAAAAGATAGCATTGAACTTGGCACATCATAAAGGATTCCAGTATTCTTTGAATGCTTATTATAAATCACTATATTCTAATAGTGAATTCGTTCAAAAATATTCATTTTCCACGTAAGTAAAGAAGTTGACTAGTTATATAAAAGATACTTGAGTGTTTTATATTTTCTAGTAGTAAGATCATGTGTTGCTTTCATACTTACGAAAGGATATATGAGAAGAGAATAATGACTTTTATTTTCTGATACTTTCCCTGAGAATCCCTTGCCATTGCCCCCGTCTCAGTCCAACGTCCAAGTTCAAGGGGTAGCTCCACCATGAAGTCTTTCCTTATCCTTTGATCCAGGAGTTCTCTCTCCCCCTCGGAACTCTCTCTCATTCATTCATATGCCATGTGTTCAACAGGCATCTTTTAAGTGAGCACCTACTGCCGTAGGTGAACAAGACCCCTGTGGTTCTTGCCCTTGCAGAACTTAAAGTCTGCAGGGGAAGGCAAAGTGGACCTTTATTGCACTTTCTATCTTATATTGAGCTTATGTATTTATGTCTATGTCTTACCTATTTCTCCTACCTAGTAAAATGCCTTGAGTGAGGGCCCACGTCTGGTTCATCGGCATATTCCATACACTGCTTCCTACAAAGAAGAGTAAATGAGCAGAGGAACCGTGATAGCATTGTTGCCATTTGAACGTTTCAGATGATTGAAACATTGACTACTGTATCTCAGGTTATCAGAAGATGCAGCAAGGGCAGTGTCCAGAAGGTTTTCTACATAACTCCAGATTCTCAGTTCAGTGTTTACCCAAAAGAGCTTTATCATTTGGAAGAGTCCCTGCCTCTGGCTCTCACTAGCAGACACAGTTGATAAAAATGAAAGTTTGGTGACTGAGAGTCTGAAGTCAAGGTTGAACCTCCCCCAAGGCAGAGGACAATGAGAGCTGTGGCCTTTGCGTAAATGTTAATTAACCAAGCAAAGCCTTCCTGGGCCCTGAGGTGTGTGCACGTTGATTCTGAGCATCTCAGGGGCGTGTCTGTGAACCAGCTCACAGGGCAAGACCCACGTCTGTGGAGAGCAGAGAACAGAGCTGTTGCGAATGATTGCCTCTGTTAGTTTCATTCCTTTTTTTAACATTTGTCCTTAGCACGCTATATCTTTAAAAAATCATTTCATTGCAGAAATTTTAAACACACACAAAAATAGAGACTAGTACAATGAATCCCCATAGGCCCATCACCCAGCTCCAACCATTATTAACACTTGCCATTTTTGTTTCATGTGTCTCCCCACTGCCCCCGCCCACCCGTACCCAACACACTTTTGTGTGTGTGTGCTGGATTTAACTTTTCTTTAACTACCATTTTTGTTTGGTGATAAAACTACTATATGTTCATTGTAGAAAAGACCTAATAATCTAATGTCGTTCTTAAAAATGAGTGATTATGTTTTGATTTGGATCTCAGTAAAAGGTGGGAAAGAGAATCAAAGGGTCGTATGACTTCTTCCAGTCCTGACTGTTTTACCTCTCTGGAGCCTTAGCCTTGTTTATCCCCATCCGCTTTCTACCCTGGTCCCTGGGTGACCTCCTTAGGCCGCCTACCTACCCCACCTGCTGGTGAACCGAGGAATGCTCCGGGCTCGCTCTTGGCTCCTGTAGTCACTTCTCTCCGTGAAAAGCCTGTGCTCCACCACAGTTCAGGGCAGACATGTGCTCACCAGCGGTGCTGCATTAGCACTGTCTCCCTCCTTCCTCTCTGGGTGAGATGGTCTGGGTGAGATGGTCTGTGCTCCCGGTTCATGAAGGAGAGGCCACTTCTCAGAATGGCCCAGCTCGCGGTGTGGCAACCCCAGGTCAAACCACGGGACTGACTCTTCTGCTGTACATGAGGCAGCCTCAGACCTGTCCCTCTTCAGCCACCGCTGCCAATGATGCAGCGCAAAGACCTGCACTCTCCCAGTGCCCGAGGTCAGCAGGCCAACTCTGACAAATGTGCTTCCCTACCGAAGCCTTTGTTAACCACAGCACTGCGGTTGGGTCATTGACTGTGTGTCTAGCTCTGTGCTAGCAGGGAGGGGGGGAATGAACGAAAGGAGAGGCCCTGGTGCCTGCCCTCCTTGGGAACAGAGGTCTGTTCTGTGTTGTAGGTATTTTGCGTGGGTGAGCTTGTCTGTGCCGTGATTGCTGATTCCGAGGTTCAGGCAAAGCGAGCTGCGCAACGAGTGAAGATTGTCTACCGAGATTTGGAGCCACTGATCCTGACCATTGAGGTAATGAGTTCAAAGTTTGTGCCAGAAGAGCAGATTTCAGCGGCATATCACTTAACATGCTTTTGACTGCAGAAACAGGAAAGAAAATCCAACTCAAAGTGGCTTCCGAAAAACAAGGGCTTTGTTGGCCTCAAACTCTATCAGTGTTAGCAAGAAAGCTGATCTTCTGCCTCTCCTCCTTGCTGCCCATGGTACAGGCTTTATCTCCTGTGGTGACAGGTTGGCAGCCAGGAGCTTCCAGTTCACGTCCAATAAGCAAGAAAGAATGCCATTGTCCCAACATCCCACGAGTAGGTCACATCCCTCTCTGGATTCATGACTGGCAAGAACTGGTGGTTACTGCTGGCGGGGGGGGTCAGATTTCTTTGCGGTTTATGGGCTGTATGGGGGAGTGATGGAGACCTAAACAGAAATCTGAGCACTATTTGGAAGCGGACAGGTGAAAAGAATGCTGGATGGGTAACCAACAATGTTCAGGAGAGGGGACACACCCTAGGACTCCATATACACCTTCACCCAGACTCTTTCAGGTACACAGTGAGAACCAACAAGATGCTCTATGAAGCATATATTGGAGACACTAGTTTTAGATCCTTTATGCATATCTTAAGTAAGTATGAGAAATAGATCCTATGATGCCTACACCTATTTTGGCAACTTAAACAAATTGGGGAACTGCATTTCCTATCCTGTTTTTTAAAAAGGATTTTGAAATTTATAAAGGTTTTCAGACTCATCTCCCTGAAATGATATGAGTATTCTTCTGCATATATTTCACTGGTTCTTATAATTTACTAAATAATAAAAGCATGAAAGTTGGGAAAGCATCATGAATAGATAAGATTCAGCACATACAGACTCAGTGTAATCTTGGAATACAATATTATCTCCACAACATAATAAATAAATTGGGCTCTAGGTGACTAGCATGCTCTGAGGCAGAAAATAAGGAAATGAGTTGGCCAAGATTAGTGTCTCCAGGAGAACTTGGCCTTGGTTATGTTTCCTATCATGCTGCTTTATGCCAAGGAACATAGAGTTTGTTTCTGGACAATGTCCTCAGTGTTCTGAAATTAAAATAAAATCATGTCAAGGAGACAAAAACATAAAAGTTTAGCTGGAGTCAAAGAGTGATTATGCTTTCCAAATTTTCCTGGCCAGTTTCAAATTCAAACATTCTGTTCCCTTCTTAAACCCTTTTCATTCATATGTTGCCTGCTCTTCTTGCTTACTTTATACATTCCTTCCTCAACATTTTGTTTTAGAGTTAGGCTTACTTCTTAGTAAGAAATTATGTCCGTAATACTTTATCAAAAATCTTGTTTGTAATTCTTTGCCCAATTCCAGTAGCTAAATATCTTCCCTTCCCCCTCACCCCGCTTTCCAGCCAAATAAAATTCCAAATAATCAAATAGACACCACTCTCTTCCCACCCCTTCCCCCCCAACTTGGACCGGCACATCTCTAATTGTCTGCCAGAGAATCCCAGCATCAAATACCAAACTTTGACATCCTGGAAAAGAGCTACCTCATGTTTATATCAGAGGTTAAGCTCTCCAGGGTTAATCAACTAGATCAAGTAGATTTAATCAAACTGTATAGCAAGGAAGTATGTCCTGCTCCCTACACATTACAGTTCTTTTTATCACTTTGCTGACCAAGAAATATTCAGGAAATTAGCTCCAAGTTACTCAAAGAGCAAGCAGCAAGGGAAGTGGAAAAAAGATTAAACTTAAAAAAAATTGGATTTATAAAAACTTAATTTCTGTTTTGAACCTAGAATATCTGAGTCTTGGATTAATAAGAAAATCATATGAATTGATTCCATTAGGAAGTGTGTTATCAATCAAAATAGGATAAAAACAAATGGATCTCCATCACTATCACTACTGTTTAACCTAGCTTATGCTGTTTTGAATTTTTAATAGTTTGAATGGGGAAATGCTATCAAAACTCTTGGCTCACGGGGTCAGGCTGATGACCATGGTGAGAAAACTATGCTCCCGACCAGAATCTCTCATCAATCGTCATGGTCAACAACGTGACCATAGCTAATACCTAGAGTTCTCTGTGTGTTTACCTTGTTCTAAGCAGGTTTCCTTCATTAACTCACTAAATGCTCACAGCAATCCTATGAGGTAAAAACTGTTATTATCCCCATTCTGATGCAGAAACTGAAAGACACAGTTACCCAAGGTCCAGCAGCTGGTCAGCAATAGAAGCGATCCACAGACACTCTATCAAAGACCCTTGGCCCCATGGTAGTAGAAAAAAAACCAACCCACTTTTTGAATGGAGGAAATGGCAGGATCACAATAGAACATCCCGTAAGGTATACTGATAGGTCTAGACACCGATTGGTGGCCAGAGGGAACCAGAGTTAGGAGAATCCCTAGCCGCCAGCAGGCTGGAATTTCATAGATGGACAATAATCCATTGTAGAAATTCTGGCAGGAGCTGGCATGTCACGTTTGCCAAGGACCCAGGGATTACAGCAAGATGAATTCCTAAGGATGGGTAAGAAAACCAGCCTAGATTATTATAGCTACATCCCTGATTATATGTACCTACTACTGTACCCCTTTCAGTAGGCATCTGGGAGAAGCCATTAAAAACCAGAATATAAGTGCATTTGTGGTACCCACTCTGGACTTGTAACGGAATCTTTCTTGCAGGACTGGAGGTCCCAGGTGCAAATGCTGTACTCATTCCCCCAGAGGAGCTTGGGGCTGGCAGGCAAGGCCACCATGTCCTTATCACTAGGGTGTCTTCAGCTAACACTGACAGAGCACTTATTATATGCCGTGTAAGCTCTTTCATGCCTCATTTCATTCTATTCTTTCCACAACCCTATTGGAGCTATGTGCACAACTCTACCTTCATTTTACAGATGAGGCTCAAAGAGGTGAAGTAATAGACCCACAGTCAAACAGCTGGTAAATGGAGAAAATGGACACAACTCCGACTGGGTCCAGAGCCCAAGATCTAAACCCCTGTGCCTTGTTACATTGGCTGCATAACATGGGCTGTGGAATGAAAAGAATAATCTGCCTGGAAATATTAGTTCCGTAATGGGACCACCTGGTGCTACGTGTTTTCTGAGCATACTTTTTTTTTTTTTGATGCGGACATTTGCATTTGCTCCATGGGGAGTCTTTCTGCAGCCTGGTTCTCAGCTCAGCTCATGCGATTCCAGAGCAAGAGAAGCGCTGCGCAGACTCAGACAATGCAGCATCACATGTGGCTACTGCTGTAGGACTGGGTCTCTTGCCCCGGGGGCCTCACTTTTCTGTTCTCTTTCTAGGAAGCTATACAACACAAGTCCTTCTTCGAGCAAGAAAGGAAACTGGAGTATGGAAATATTGATGAAGCATTTAAAATGGTGGATCAAATTCTTGAAGGTAAAACTATCTGAAAAGAACGATGAGAGGGGAAGCAACCCCAGCCTGCCCAGTTGTTATACAGATGGCGTCTGTTTTCCTGAAGGTCCGGAAACTGAGGCTCAGAGTGGTTAAGGAGCACCGTCACACAACAGCCACTAAGCCACGAAGCACTGTGGATTAATAGCTTTTTTAAGGATTTCCAAAGCCCATGTTTCTTTCTGTTTCATCCTTTCTGACTTCTCCCTCCCCCCTCCATCTCTGCTTTCTCCTTCCTTTCTTCTTTCCCTCCCTGTCTCCTTCCCCCACTTCCTTGCAGACTTCCTTTAGTTATGTATATATGTAATGAAAATTAAATTTCCCTCTTGGAAATCAGTTGATTTGAACTTTCCAATAAAATTTTTGTAACTTTTTATTTTGAAATAGTTTTAGATTTCAGAAAAGTTGCAGAAACATTAAAGAAACTCCTAATTACCCAGATTCCCCAATAGACATTTCATGACACTTGCTTTATTATTCTGTGTGTGTGTGTGTCTCTGTCTCTGTCTCTCTGCCTGTCTGTCTGTCTCTCTCTCTATATATATATAGAGAGAGAGAGAGACATATACACACACACATACACACACACGCACATTTTTTTCTGAGCCATTTGAGAGTAAGTTACTGACTTGATGCCTCTGTCCTCCTAAATACCACAGTGTCCATTTTCTAAGAACAAGGATATTATCTTACATAAACATACAGTTGTTTTTTTGTTTTGTTTTTTTTTGCGGTACGCGGGCCTCTCACTGTTGTGGCCTCTCCCGTTGCGGAACACAGGCTCCGGACTCACAGGCTTAGCGGCCATGGCTCACAGGCCCAGGCGCTCCGCGGCATGTGGGATCTTCCCAGACCAGGGCACGAACCTGTGTCCCCTGCATCGGCAGGCAGACCCTCAACCACTGCGCCACCAGGGAAGCCCCCATCTGAGAATGTCTTTTTAATTTCTTTTTTATCCTTGAAAGATATTTTCACTGAATATAGAATTCTGAGTTGACAGGTCTTTTAGCACTTGAAGAAATATGTTATACCAGCTCTTCTGGCCTCTGTGGTTTCTGATGAGAAATCTGCTGTCTTTTGAAGTATTTTTCCCCAATAGGAGAGGCAGTGTTTTTCTCTCTCTTCTTTCAACATATTTTGTTTTTAGTTTTCAGAAGTTTGACTGTGATGTGTCTTGGCATGAGTTTCTTTGGTTTATCTTCTTTGGGATTTACTCAGCTTCTGAAATCTGTAAGTTGGTGTCTTTTACCAAGTTTGGGAAATTTTCACGTATTACATCTTCAAATACTCGACTTTAATGACACAAATGTTCAGACTTTAATTTTAATCACAACTGTTTCTGAGGCTCTGCTCATTTTCTTTTCAGTCTATTCTCTCTATTGCTCAGGTTGAGCAATTTCTATTGTTCTGTATTCTTGTTCCCTGATGATTCCCACTGTTCTCTCTATTCTGTTGTTGAGCTCATCCACCGAGCCCCTTATATTCTGAGTGTTGTATTTCTTAGTTCTAAAATTTCCATTTTGTTCTTTTATATCTTCTGTTTCTTTGCTGAGATTTTCTATTTTTTTTCATTTGTCCCAAGTGTTTATGTAAATTAAAGCATTTTTATGATGGCTGCTTTAAAATCCTTGACAGATAGTTCCTACATCTGTGTCATCTCGCTGTTGGCATCTGTTGATTGTCTTTTCTCATTCAAGTTGAGTTCTTGGTATGATGAATGACTTCTGATTTTATCCGGTTCACTTTGGATATTATGTTGTAAGACTTTGGATCTTATTTAAATCATCTATTTTACCAGAACTCCTCTGACCCTGTGTTGGAAGGAACGAGGGGTGATGTCTTGTTATTGCCAGGTGGAGCATGGAAGTAAGTCCAGGTTCCCTGTAGGGTCCCCATTAACACCACCCCAGTGGAAGATTTGGGGTACCTCATCACAGCTTGATAAGGGTGGAAGTCTAAGCTTCCCACTCAACTTTTGCAAACAGAGACAGGTCTGCAGTTTTTTCTGTAGTGTTTGGCTAGAGCAGAGTAGGTATTGCGTAAAAGTTTTCTGTCTTGATAGGCTTCCGCTCTCCTGGTCCTTTGGCTAGAGAAAGTAGGCTTTTCTTGGGGGATTTTTTTCTCTTTGCCTGTTGGTGTTTCTGGATTTCTGCTTCCCTGGCACCAAGTCTGGGATATATGAAGCAAACAATAACTAAACCCACTGAACTCAACATTGTGTCTTTCCTTGGGTCCCAAAGTCCCTAGCTGGTTTGCCTTCTCCTCTACTTTTCAGAACCTTCTTATGTTTCTTTTATTACATATAATGTCCAGAATTGTTAGCTGTACTTAGAAGAAGGAACAGGGAGAAATGCATCTACTCCATCTTGTCTTGGAACTGGAATTCTCCTTGCTGTAGTATTTTGACTCTGAAAAGTCACACATCTTTCCCTATCACTTTGAGACCTACCATGCTGGCAGACATGACACATTCCCCTGCAGAACTCTAATTCAAATATGCAGGTATAATAAAAGCTAAATATTGTTATGTTTGGAATACATAAACACTTGGAATAAATGAAAAAAAAAGAAAATCTCAGCAAAGAAACAGAAGATATAAAAGAACAAACTGGAAATGTAACCCACTGCCCCAGCAGAAGCACTGTCGGTGGAATTTCTCTGTAATGAGATAACACCTGAGGAGTGCTACCTGTCCTATCTGACTGTCTCCTTGATTCTGGAATATTTTCCTCTAACAGGTGAAATACACATAGGAGGTCAAGAACATTTTTATATGGAAACCCAAAGCATGCTCGTTGTTCCCAAAGGAGAGGATCAAGAAATTGATGTCTACGTGTCCACACAGTTTCCCAAATACATACAGGTAATGTGGGGACCATTATGGAGGGGACATGGCTAAGTGGTTTCTGTCAACAAGATATACCAAGAACAGTTTAGAACATTTTAGAAACTGAAGGAGTTTGGAATACTAATAGCCATATCCATTTGGGTATTAATAACCATACAACTTTAAAACTTTTAAGATAGTATTATGAAAGTAATGGCCTTCTGCTTGTGGGTCTGTAACTTTAAAATCAGTTATGGGATCAGCCGGTCTCTTTTTCTATACCCTTGGCACTGTTAAGAACACGAAAGAAATGATGCCTATAGTCAACACTGCTGTATTATATATGAAAGTTGTTAAGAAACAGATCCTAAGAGTTCTTGTCACAAGGAGAAATTTTTTTCTTTTAATTGTATCTATATGAGATGGTGAATGTTAACTAGACCTATTGTGGTAATCAATATATGTAAATCAAACCATCATGCTGTGTACCTTAAACTCATACAGTGATGTATGGCAATTATTGCTCAATAAAACTGAAAAAAACCCCAAAATTTAACAAAGGAAGGCCTGCCCTCCAAAACTTACAGCCACCTAACTCACATGAAGCAATTAGGAAATAGTACTGGGCAGAATGCAACCAGCAAACTCAGAATTTACATAGGTGGAAGAATTAAGGGAATGGAGGTTTGTCAAGCCCGAGAATCATCCAGGAAGTCTCATGAAGATGAAGTCTTAAGCTGGGATTTACAGTGGGAATGAGGTTCGTCTAGATGGTGAGAGGAGAAGCCATTTCCAGGGAGTTCCACACCACGATCAAATGCCACTCATTCGTTCATTCATTCATTCACTTGTCCCTTCTGCAAACACTTTTTGCCTGTGTCCTATATGCCAGGCAGCACGTGTGTAAAGAAGGAGGAATAGTACGCAGACTGTCCAAGGTGGATGTGCCTGGGGTGGCTAGTTTAAGCATCAGGGTGAAAGTAAGGGGAACAAACACTGGGGTCTTGATTCAGTAGGTCATAAGGAGCCAGTGTCATTACCAGAGCAAGTAGGAATGTGGGAATGTGGAGAATGAGGCCTCTTAGAAGGTGGAACACTAAGAAGGATCAGGCGAATTCCATTCCATTCCTGTTGTGCCTCTCACTCCCTGTGTGACATTGGTCCCATCACTTCATTCCTCTTGGGCTCCCCACCTATAAAAATGAGTTATTAAGACTTAATGACCTGGACTTCCCTGGTGGCGCAGTGGTTAAGAATCCACCTGCTAATGCAGTGGACATGGCTTCAAGCCCTGGTCCAGGAAGATCCCACATGCCACGTAGCAACTAAGCCCGTGCACCACAACTACTGAGCCCGCGCACCTACTGAGCCCGTGCTCCGCAACAAGAGAAGCCACCACAGTGAGAAGCCTGCGCACCGCAACGAAGAGCAAGCCCCGCGCCTCACGCGCCACAACTAGAGAAAGCCCGTGCGCAGCAACAATGACCCAACGCAGCCAAAAATAAAAAATAAAAGTAAGAACAAATAAATAAATTTATAACAACAACAACAAAAAAGACTTAATGACCTCAAACATTAGGATGGCAAGGAAGAGCAAGGCCTACATCCAGGGAAGACCCACCAGCCAACTGAATCCAAATGTAGGGTGAGGAGTGCTCGTTCTCCAGTGGAGACAGTGGTGTGCAGGGAAGAGACCCAGTCTGAGAGAGGCTTGGAAGGCCACGAAATCTCACTGCTGCAGGAAACATATCCCTAGGGGTTAGTCTGAAAAGGATACCTTGGGTGTAGTTCATGGGGAAAAAAATTTTTTTAATTTTATTATCACAAAAATATCTCATTGATACTGGAAGGACTACTTAATATTAATGATAGTTTTGGTGCTGTCATTACAGCTGAATACTACTGAGATCAGCATGGATGCATGCTTAGGTTACTGGAAATCATCCCTTTATTTAGTATAACCACACAATTTGTGTATCACGTACAACATTAAGGAATCAAAATGTGTAAGGACTATTCCCACTCCCTTGCTGCACATGGGTCAGATTAATGAGAACTGTTATCATTCACAGGACATAGTTGCTTCAACCTTGAAGCTCCCAGCTAACAAGGTCATGTGTTATGTAAAGCGTGTTGGCGGGGCTTTCGGGGGGAAGGTGATGAAAACTGGCATCATGGCAGCCGTCACCGCATTTGCTGCAAACAAGTAAGTGGAGAAAATCTGTTAAGTAGACTAAAAATAAAATGAGGTCACATTGAATATTTTCAATATTGCGGTTAAGGAGGAAGAATCTGGGTCAAGGTTATTTAAAATCACATATAATATACAAATATACAAACCAGCTGCCAGCTTATTACAACTTCTTTATTTTATATTGTCAAACTACATACTATAAAAACAAAAATGAGAATCAATTACTGAAAAGAGTAAAAACCACAGTAAAATATATAATACCTGGGGAGTAGACAGAAGCAGATCCTGAAAGGGTGGGGTTACTTGTCCTTAGCACCTGTATATCTACATAGGTCAGTTCAACCTTTTGAGCTAGACATTTATATCTATCTATATATCTACACCTATACATATCTCAAAAGGTTTATATACATATAGATAGATAAAAATATGTGTATCTCAAAAGGTGTGTGTGTGTGTGTGTATATATTTTTTCCCCTTAATTTAAATGGAAAATTTGCTTCTGTTATGCTTACCTTTATTTATAGTACCATTTTCCTTTAAGGGTGTCAGAATATAACCATAGGAAATTGTCTTTGGAACAGGCACACCTAGAAGGCTTAGTTTCTTTGCTAAGTAATGTACGTCAGTTCCTCTGCCCCGTGACACAAAAAGACCTTCATTCCAGACCTGTCCTATCAGGGAATACTTGGCAGTCAGATACCACTTGAGTTCCTCCATTTGTAACCATCTATAATGTGGCCTTGGGACTGTTTGCCTATCATGGAGGTGATTATCACAGTGGGAAATAACCCCAAAGCAATACCCCGGAGCCTTGGGCCTGAGAGCCCCCTTGCATAAGTAGTGAGTGCCAGGCACTGTGCCCTGACCCAAAGGAAGAGGAGGTCAGGGCACAGTGAGGGCAGCACAGCCTGGGCTCAGGGAGTCACTCTGCTGTTCTGCGGTGTGTGTGGACGCCACCAGGCTCTCACTAGGCGTTACATAAACCCTAGATAATACCTGTTAGGTAAAAGAGTTTACCTCTCCCGATTTTTTTTTTTTTTTCCTGTTTTAGGCATGGTCGTGCAGTCCGCTGCATTCTAGAACGAGGAGAAGACATGTTAATAACTGGAGGCCGCCACCCTTACCTTGGAAAGTATAAAGTGAGTAGAAGGATGGGGGATTTATGTTGTAAATATAACATTACAGAAATGCAGAGGGCAGCATCTGGCTACTCTCTACTGGGGAATGACAGTGAGCAAATCAACAAATTGTGCGTCACACTTTCTCTTCCTTGTGCTAACTGATTACTGGCTGGTTCAGTGAAGCTTTTCTGCTTTCCTCAGAGATACCAGTTTGTGGAAAAAGTACGAGCTGGTATTGGCTGCTACAGAGTGCATAGCTGAAAAACATGTGAGTATATACACATACGTCCATGAAAGTGGATCTGATAACCACACTATTCCCACAGTTTTATACGTGGGAGGTAAAAACAGAAAAATTTCTTTAACAATAATGTTATGCGAAATTGCAAATACTTGCCAACAGCTTCCTCATTTATCAATATGTCAAAGGTATTTTGGTAAAACTCTGTACCAGAAATTCCTAATTCCTAGAAAAGTTTCTGTAGCAGAAAATAAGTATTCTTTTGCTTTATAAGAAATAAGTTTACTTGTCAGAATGGGCTAACTGCTCTAACAACTAAAAACTCTCTGGGACTTAGAACTTTTTTGTGTTAATTCTTGCTCAAGTAACAGCCCAGCGTAATCAGAGGAGGGTGGGAGGTGGGCGGAGAACAGGAGAGAACCCTGCTACACAGAATCACTCATGGGCTCAAGCTTTTTCCATCTAGTAACACCACCATCCTCCCCTCAGACCACACTGTTGAATATGGAAGCCACTAGGCACATACGGCTATTTAAATTTAAATCTACTAAGTTAAATGAAAGTTAAAATTCAGTTCCAGGGCTTCCCTGGTGGGGCAGTGGTTGAGAGTCCGCCTGCCGATGCAGGGCACACGGGTTCGTGCCCCGGTCCGGGAGGATCCCACATGCCGCGGAGCGGCTGGGCCCGTGAGCCATGGCCGCTGGGCCTGCGCGTCCGGAGCCTGTGCTCCGCAACAGGAGAGGCCGCAGCAGTGAGAGGCCCGCGTACCGCCAAAAAAAAAAAAAAAAATTCAGTTCCACAGTTGCATTAACTATATTTTAAGTGCTCAGTAACCACCTGTGGCTAGTGGCTGCCATATAGGACATGCAGATAGAGAACATTGCCATCATCACAGGAAGTTCCATTGGTTAGCACTGCCCTAAAGACTCTTTGTCCTCCACTGGATTTTCTGCAGAGGGCAGCAGACAAGGGAAGGGAAGGGAAGAGAGGGAGCAGAGTGTTGTGTGGGAGATGTTCTGAGCACCAGGCCTGGAAGTGGTGGTCCTTGCTTTAATCGACACATTATTGGCCAGAACTTTGCCACGTAACTGCAAGGGGGCATGGGAAATGTAGTCTTCCTGCATGCCCAGGATGAAAGACCACAGGATTTGTTGAACACATCACATCGTTTCTACCACAACTGGTGTACCTGCATACATATTGTTAGAAGATAACGAATGTATCTATTTCAACTTACATTCACCCTAAGCTATATTTTGAATTGGGTTTAGTGCAACATAGATTTATTAGAGCAAACTTTGTCCTGAAGGAGACCACGTTCTAGCCGTTGATGGGGAAATAAGACTTACACATATGAAGTCATTATGAAAACATAATTATCTCAGGTTAAAGGAGGAGGTGCACATAGTAAAACTATGGGGAGAGACGAATATGAGTGGGAGTGCGCACAGGAAACCTCTTAGAGAAGGTGAAACGTAAATGACCTTCAAGAATGGATTGGCAGAAAGAAGGCATACCAGGTGGTGGGAATAGTAGCAGCGTAAATGCAGAGGTGGGATACACGTGGCCTGTTTGATAGGGGCAGGAGTAAGGGGAGAAGGGGAATTAAGAGCACAGAGCGCTTACTGGAAAGTAATGGGAAATAAGAGGGGTTGGGTTAGGTGATGCCAGACTCAGAGTGGCCTGAGAATCCCAGGATGGGGGGTTAAACTTGATCTCATAAGATACAGTGAGACTGAGTAGATGCTTGACCAGTCAAGTGTCATAACCAAACATGGGCGCTTTGTGGGGGAGAATACGATGGCACTGGGCAGGACGGCCTAGCGAGGAGGGAGGACGCAGACCACCTGGAGGCAGCTGATGCCTTCAGACAGGAAGCAGTTGGGGTCTGGCTACGCTAGGAAGATGTAGAAAAAGAGATGGGTCCAAGAGCTATGATAAAATAAAATAGAATTCGGTGACAAACTTAGCAAAATATAGTGGAGAATAAAAACCACAGACATGCCTTGGAGGTTTCTGATAGAAAGAGCCAAGTTGGAAGGAGGAAACAGTCTAGACGGACAGGGATGAGTTTATTTGTGTGTTTGGAGAAGAAGTGACAGTGGGACATTTAGAAGTGGAAATGTCCTTCATCGATATGGGACTTTATTGAAAAGACTGGATTATAAGTTACAGAAACCATCAGCGTAGTGATGATTAAAACCTTGAGAAAATAATGTGTTCGGATGGAGGGTAGTATGAGGACAGGAGATGATATTAATAATGTTTACAGTAGTAGTATTTAGGATACTTGCTAGGTTTCAGTCACTGGCTTATGATTTTCCCTGCATTACCTTACTTATTGCCAGGTCACAGATAGTCAGAGAGGTTATATGACTTGCCCGAGATCACAGAGTGGGTTAAGTGGCAGAACCGGGACTCAGACTTAAACTGCTGAATTCATAGTTCATGCCCTTGACTTCGGTTTGCATTTGGTTCCAGTCAACAAAAATCATTAAAATAAACTTTACTTTTATTATTATTATTATTATTATTTTTGGCTACGTTGCATGGCTTGTGAGGTCTTAGTTCCCCGATCAGGGATCGAACCCGGGCCCTAGCAATGAAAGCACAGGGTCCTAACCACTGGAGCACCAGGGAATTCCCAAAATGAACTTTAATAAGTTCAGAAATATTGAATACATCTTAAAAGCAAGGAAGATATTTATTTAAAAGACCTCCAGCAACACCAAATGCCGCTGAGAATTGTGAGGAAATTGGGCCCTATGAGAAAAATGTGCAGAGTCCATTATGTGCAGGCCACCAGATTTGGAGATTAGAAGATCGCTGGCTTTAGGGGAAAAGGTTTTGGTGGAAATATGAGGATGGGAGTCAGAATTCAAGAACTTATGGTGAGCATAAGAGGTCAAGAAATATGCAGTTGATTTGCTTTAGGAGGAGAAAAAAGATTGAACAGTAGTGACAGATTAAACAGGAGGGTTTTTTTGTGTGTTTGTTTTGCTTTTATATCTTTCTCTATCCTTCCTTTTTTATTGTTATTATTTTTATTTGTGGCAAAATACACATAACATAAAATTTACTATCTTAACCGTGTTTAAGTGTACAGTTCAGTGGCGTTATTATGTACAGTCACACTGGTGGGCAGTCATCACCATCCATCTCTGGAATTCTTTTCACCTTGCAAAACTGAAACTCTGTACCCATTAAGCAATAACTCCCCACTCCTTCCTCTCCCAACAGCCCCAGGAAACCACCATTCTACTGTCTGTCTCTGTGCATTTGACTACTTTGGGTGCCTCACATAAATAGAACCATACAGTGTTGGTCCTTTTGTGACTGACTTATTTCACTTAGCATGATGTCCACAAAGTTCATCCATGTTGTAGCATGTGTCAGAATTTTTTCCTTCCTTTTTTTTGGCTGAATAATATTCCATCGTATGTATATGCCATATTTTGTTTCTCCACTCATTTATTGATGGACACTTGAGTTGCTTCTACCCCTTGTGAATAATGCTGCTGTGAACATGGGTATACATATATCTCCCTGAGATCCTGCCTTCAATTCCTTTGGATAAATACCCAGCTGCACCGTTTTACCTTCCCACCAAGAGTGCACAAGGGTTCCAGTTTCTCCACATCTGCACCAACACTTATTGTTTTGTTTCTGTTTTTTGGGTTTTTTTTTTTTTTGCTATAGTAGCTATTCTAATGGATGTGAGGTGGTATCTTACGGCTTTGATTGGCATTTCCCTAATTATTAGTGATGCCGAGCATCTTTTCATGTGCTTGTTACCCATTTTGTATATTTTCATTGGAGAAGTGTCTATTCAAGTCCTTTGTCTACTTTTTAATCAGGTTGTTTGGGGCTTTTTGTTGTTGAGTTGTAGGAGTTCTTTATACATCCCAGATATTAACCCCTTATCAGATATATGGTTTGCAAATATTTTCTCCCATTCTCTGGATTGCCTTTTCACTCTGTTGATCGTATCCTTTGATACTGGGAAGTTTTAAATTTTGATATAGTCCAATTTATCTATTTTTTCTTTTGTTGCTTATGCTTTTGGTGTCTTATCCAAGAAATTGTCAAATCTAATGTCATAAAATTTTTCATCTATATGTAGAGGGTTCACAAGTGACAGAGTAAACTTTAGAGAGACTTGGTCCCCAGAACCAGTATCAAAGGTCCATTCTCTTTCCCCAGGCTGGATTCATGAACGATGGCAGAATCTTGGCCCTGGATGTGGAGCATTATAGCAATGGAGGTGCCTCCCTGGATGAGTCATTACTTGTAAGTGTTTTAATGAGCAAATTCACATTCTGGAAAGTGTTACATAAAATTATTTAATTCAGAAAAATGTTCAGTAGTTAAATAATATTTAATTATAAAAGCGTAAAGATTCGCAATGCAGGGAGCAAGTAGACTCATGTTACTTACTGGTGCCCCCAGGGTGAGCCCAGAGATACTGGCCAAGTCTGCATCTGTGTGTTGTCTCTGTGTTTCCCAAACTTAGAGCTCTTTTCCCAGATGCAAGGATTAGACCTTCACCTTGACCCCACTCATGTTTTGAAATGGATAATTCTTTGCTGTAGGTCCGCCCTGTGCACTATAAGAGGTCCCTCAGTATCATTGGCTTCTATCCAGTATGTGTCAGTGGCACAGCCACCCTCCAGACCTAACAACCCAAAATATCTCCAGACATTGGCAAATGTCCCAGGAAGGAAGAGGGGAAAATTGCCCCTGGTTGAGAACAAATGCATTAGGCCAAATACCAGCATTTTTTTTCCTGTTTTTCAGGATATTTTATTCTGTAAACTGAGAGAGAGTCTACATTCTGTAGACTGAGAGGGCCTATGAATGCTTCAAAGGCTTTTGGAAATTTTTAAAACCTGGGGAAAAATGCATTAGCCCTAATGTGAAAATGTAAAAGTAATGATTTCAAAAAAAATTATTCAAATCTTTAAAAATCATTTTACAGTAAAAATGCATTTAATTTGAGACATGGGTCAAGGTTAGCATGTTTGATGTGACGTAGGTCATTTCTGGCCTGATTTTGGTCCGAAGTCTCAGGATGGTAAAACAGGTGCAGAAGGATGAGGTCTCATCACATCAACTCTGGATTTCCCCAGATGATAGAGATGGGACTTCTGAAAATGGAAAATGCCTACAAGTTTCCCAACCTGCGCTGTCGGGCGTGGGCGTGCAGAACCAACCTTCCGTCCAACACGGCTTTGCGAGGGTTTGGCTTTCCTCAGACAGGGCTGATCACCGAATCCTGTATCACGGAAGTTGCAGCCAAATGCGGGTTGTCTCCTGAGAAGGTAAAACTGAATTAGTTTCACAGACAAAAGATAGTGAATTTTAGAGGTGGGAGGGCCACTGGGAGTCTTCATGTTGAGGAATTTGTGGTCCATAGGGGCTACATGATTTGCTGGAGGTAACCCAGCTAACTAGTTAACACAGAGCAGGACTCCAGAGTTCAGGGGTCCTTGTCTTACTCGGGCTCCTCAAAAATCCTGGGGCAGAGGGTATTGAGAAGTGAGCTCTGGATTCATTGTTAGTGAGAAGTCTCCATGGGTTAGAAGTATAACTGCTACTAATAAGTTCTGTCAAACCCTTCTTTCCTCTGCTTCCTTAACATCTTAGGGAGCTGTCATCTGAGTCATTTCAGTTACTAAAATGGCCTCCTTTCTGTTCTTTAAGTCTTGGTCCCAATTTCATTCATTAACAAGATCGGTTCCCTTCCCAGGATCCTGGAGTAGAGTTAGGGTGGGCAGAAGGTGTGCCGTCTGCCCCCTTCTCCCTCCCGTGAGGACCAGGGAAAACAGACAGCATCTCCCCAGCTGACTTCTCCCAGCAAGCTCTCTGTCCTCTTCTTGGTTAGATGAAGCCACTTTTCAAGTATGTTGTCTCCGGGCTCCATTTCTGCCAGCCCTCTCAGAAATTGACAGTCCCCTGCAAGCATTAAATCTCCAACTGACCCTCAGCTGGCCCCTCACGCAGCATCCCCTGAAGCCCACACCTCTTGGCCCCATGCTGCAGCCATCCATGGAAAGCCCCAGTCCCTGATTCATCTACCTCCTTCCCGCCCCCACCAGCACTAGAATTTGTGACCATAGACAGGAGCCATCATCTTTATGTCTCTTGAACTTGGGGGGGGGGGCCTTGCCCCTCCCTTCCTGGCTGTCTCACCATGGCCTCTTTCCCAGATGTGCTGTCACATTGGTAGCACTAGGAGGAGGATCAGCTAATGACCTCCCTTCATCCCCAGAGAAGATGGAGGAGAGAGTAGCCATCCTTCAAAACACCACAGCAGGGGACTTCCCTGATGGCGCAGTGGTTGAGAGTCTGCCTGCCGATGCAGGGGACATGGGTTCGTGCCCTGGTCCAGGAAGATCCCACATGCTGCGGAACGGCTGGGCCCGTGAGCCATGGCCACTGAGCCTGCGTGTCTGGAGCCTGTGCTCCGCAACGGGAGAGGCCCGCATACCGCAAAAAAAACAAAAAACAAAAAACACCACAGCAGGGATTTCCCTGGTGGTCCAGTGGTTAAGATCCACACTCCCAATGGAGGGCATCTGGGTTTGATCCCTGGTCAGGGAACTAGGTGCCGCATGCCGCAACTAAAGATCCCGCGTGCCGCAACTAAAGATCCCGTGTGCCACAACTAAGACCCAGCACAGCCAAATAAATAAATAAATATTTTTTAAAACCCCCCAAAACAAAAAAAACCACCTTCCCCCAAATGGCACAGCTCACTAATTTCCAGTCATCCTTTTATAATGATCTGGGACTTTTTGGAGGGGGAGATGGGAAGAAGATATGTCTGTAATGACCCCTGTCAGCTTGGGGAGAGGGCTGGCCTCAACTGCTGAGAGTTTTCTCAGCTGAGAATGTGAAGTACTTGACCTTTTGTTCTCAGCTGGGTGCCTTAGTCACCAATTTCTGGGAATTCAGGAAGAATTCTACTCTGCTTCAGACATCCTGGGATAGAATCACTTAATTGTCTTTTCATCCTAGTTATGGGCTATATTTAAACAAACTTTCTTAGTTTCCTGTTTGGAAGTGAGTGGTCTTCTCTTGCCTCAGCATCTGAAAATTGAAATCACACGGATCATGTAGCCTGGAATTAAATTCAGCATTACCTTTCAACAGATACTCACAGGTACAACTGGAATTAAGTGTCCACAGTGTACCTGGACTGCACTGTTGAGTTATATAAGAAATATGAGGAAAGGAGTCCTTCCTCTGGACTTACACAAGAGTGGCATCGAAGGCATATAAGTGCTAACACATTTGATAGAGGCTCTGAGTAGAGGAAGAGGAAGATGTTATGTGTTGGGAAGGGCTTCAGCAAGGAGTAGATTGAACTCAGTTTGGGTTTTCTGTGATGAGCAGAATTTGACTAGGAGGACAGTGGGTGGGAGAGACTATGTGCCTAGTGCCCCACCAACCCTTTTGATCTTCTTCTCTTTTGTAGGTCCGAACGATAAACATGTATAAGGAAATTGATCAAACACCCTACAAACAAGAGATTAATGCCAAGAACCTGATCCAGTGTTGGAAAGAATGCATGGCCATGTCTTCCTACGCCCTAAGGAAAGCAGCCGTAGAAAAATTCAACTCGGAGAATTGCTGGAAGAAGAAGGGGCTGGCAGTGGTCCCCCTGAAGTTTCCTGTCGGCCTTGGATCAGTTGCTGCTGGTCAGGTCAGTTCTCCAAACAGACAAATCAAAAGGTGTTGAGGAAACTTTCCATTAAGGTGGATTAGCCATATGGTTGCAATATCTAATTGTTCAACTTCCCCAAAGCTGTGCTCCGTCCAGCTAGTTTTTCTCCAGAGGAGACAAGAGCTACTTTGCCCACTTCCCCAGGGTTGGTGACAAGCATTCTTGCTGGGAAATTGGGAGACCCAGCACCTATTCCTGGCCTTGGAATTGAACAGCTGAATTAGCTCACTGTGGGCCCATATCACTTAAGTATAAAATAAGGGTGGGGACCAATGACCCCCAAGACTCCTCTTCAGCTACTCTGATTCTGTGAGATAGAAACAGGAAATGGAATAGTAACAGGAAGCTGCAAGGCACTCGGTGCTCCTCCCATTTTTGGTGGGCTGGGGAAAATTACATCCAGAAAAATAAATCATTTAAATATCTTTTCAAACAATCGTAGAAGTTTTTTTTCACTTTATAGCCGTTAAAGGTATCACGGGGAGGACTGAAAATCTATTCTTTTTTTTAATAAATTTATTTATTTATTTTTGGCTGTGTTGGATCCTGTTGCTGCACGTGGGCTTTCTCTAGTTGGGGCGAGCGGAGGCTACTCTGTTGCGGTGCGCGGGCTTCTCATTGCGGTGGCTTCTCTTGTTGCAGAGCATGGGCTCTAGGTGCATAGGCTTCAGTAGTTGCAGCACACGGGCTCAGTAGTTGTGGTGCACGGGCTTAGCTGCTCCGCGTCATGTGGGATCTTCCCAGCCCAGGGCTCGAACCCGTGTCCCCTGCATTGGCAGGCAGATTCTTAACCACTGCGCCACCAGGGAAGTCCTGAAAATCTATTCTTGTTGTTTACTTTCTTGAATTGATTAAATGAATTCCCTGCTCGGTTGCTAAACCTCACTTGCAGGTTCCAGCTCTTCATTCTTGAGTGGGACTTACCCCGAACAGCTGGTGGTCTTTATTGTCGCTCATTGTACAGCAGGGACGTGGGAACCCTGTTCCCTATGTTCTTACGTGTCCGTATGTGTATCTGTACATACATGTGGATGAGGTGGCAGAGCCCTCAAAACTGTAGTCCCTCCCCTTCGCAGAGTTCACGCCTTTGGCTGAACCGTGAAGAAGGTACGGCAGGTGTGTGTTTTGAGCGCGGACAGAATAGGGATAAGTGGGGGTGGGGCCGTGAAGAGCACTAGTGTGTAGGCCGTGTGATGCGGAGGCCAGGAAAAGCAGGCAGGAAGGCCCTCCCCCCATTTCCACACCCATCATTCACCCATCTATCCTGACTCAGCCTCGATGAAATCACCAGAACGTTTTCATGCAGCTTTGATTGTAGGTGGGTTAACGCAGAGGGGCATATAACAACACAGTGGCGATCTGAGTGCAGCCTTCCTGTGCCTCTCCTGTTTACGATGGCAAAACAGCACAGATGTTGTTTAGTCATCTGCCTACAATTTACTCAGATGAGAGAGTCAAGAGGCTGTGGTTGAGGAATAAAGGCAAAAACAAGGTTATTAAAAAGGAAAGGAAGGGGGAAAACTATCCCTAGAAAAGGGTTAGCGAGCAGTGACTCTTTGTATATAGTTTTGGGGCAAACTGATCAGCCAGCGGCCAGCAAAGAGGTCAGTCTGGGCCATCTGTCCTTGAGTACACCGACCAGGATCATGCAGAAAACAATTTCCATTGTATATGAATCTTCTGGAAATTTGGGGGCGTTAGGCTGTGGGTAGACATGGCAGGCTGTCTCTATTCAATGGTTGCCATTACTTAATACCTGGCCTCCACAGGAGACTAGTTCTGTCCCATTTCCCTCATCAGAAATTTCTCAAAAAGTAGATAAAAATTAACGATAATTACTGAGCACCTACTATGTTGTAAGTTCTTTTAGATTTTATCTCATTCAGCCCTCAGGGCAACCTATAAGATTTGTAACCTTATGTTAATGATGAGAAACTGAGGCTCAGAGAGCTTAAATAACTTGTCCAGAATCCCACAGCTGGTGAGAGGCGGGGCCGGTGATAGAACTCAGGTCTCAGAGGCTCCAGAAGCTGTGCTTTGTCAGCTACATCAAGCTGCTTCCCCATAGCACCTTCTGGGGGGAACTGAGGTGGGATTCAGCTCAGCTGGGAAGAAACTAGACAACAGCCAGCAGCACAAATTCATTCTCAAAGGCTCCTGAGACGCCTTCCCCACCACCACCATCCCCTCCCATCCTTGCCTGGAAACCAGCTTCTGTGCTTAAAACATTTGCTTAGGGCTGAATTGCAGAGTTGAATTGAGGAGTTTGAGATCACTCAGGCTGCTTCCTGGAAGCCATACGCTGAAAGCCTCTGTTCTGAAGTAAACCAGATGGAGGGGGGAACTAGAGCACCTTCTGCGTCTGCGTGCCTAGGCTGGGTGATTTGCAATTTCCCACTTGATTTAAGCCCTATCTCCCCTCTGTTGGCTGGTGTGATTCTGTTTCATAGAAGGGGGAGCTGAAGCCCACAGAGGTGTGCTCTCCTACGGAAGGACATCCAGCTAGTGAGTGGTAGAACAAGGACTTGACTTCAAGACTGTGCTCCCAACAGCTGAGGGTGTCAAACATGCCTCACCTGCATTATATTTAATTCCTAGACAGAGCACTGAAGTGCGCACAGTATCTAATGAACCTCTGTATTCCCAGTGCCTTCATACGGCACCTGGCACAGAAGAGGAACTCAAACGTCTGAATGGCTGAGACATTTTGGGAATCTGTTGGGTCAAAGCTCATGTCTCACCAACACCAGCAGTCATTGCTTGAGGACTTAAATTTCACAGACTAAGTTCCAAGTTTATATTGGACAACCACCTGTTCCCACGTGCCAGTTGTGCTGATTTCGTAGATGCAGCTTTGCAGAATTATCTTTTCTGGCGCTAACAATGAGCCATCCGGTGGTGCCACTTAACTGAACCGAATTCGACATTTTAAGTGGCCCAGGAAGACTGCAGCAGCACATGGGACAAGTTACTCAGCAGTCTCGGACAGAAATGCTGCCCTGGACACACAGGCAGAGCGCTGCTGCCAGTGGGGTCACACGTGATGAAATGCAGAATCCACTGTACTTGTAGTTCAATCACATGTGCCAGTCACACATTTCACCCACAAGCAACTTCTGAATTGCTGGCAGAGCCAAGGAGGCCAAATAGAGTGTCTACAAGCTTAAGGAACAGATTAAATGGCTATGCTGTTGCCAATTCATTTATCAAACTTTTATTGAGTACTTACTACTCATGAGTTACTATGTTGCTTTGCAAAGGATGCCTTAGGACATGGACTTTCCTTTCAGGGGGCTTACATTCCAGCAGAGGACAAAGAGGTGCCTTAGAATGGAGCCCAGGAGCAGCCGCTGCAGCTGGCATCCCCTGCCGTCTGGTGCATAACCCCTGGGCAGCCCTCCCCGGGTGCTCTGTAGAGGATGTCACTCCTTACCTTTATTGTTTAGAGAATAAATGACCAGGAGCACAAGACAGTGTTACCAGGACTGATATGTCAACAGAGTGTAAAACGTGCACTGCTGGATCTCCCCAAGGATATGACTCCCCACTTGGATATGACTATTATGGCAACGATGCCTTTCCTAAGGTTCTAAGATCCTCCCTTGGGCTGTGAGTGTAGGTGCCTTTGTCCTCAGAGAAAGTGCTCCTATGTCCCCATTTTCTCAATACATCCCTAGTTTATACCAGCTGACCAGGTAAATAGAGCCCATTTTCACTGTCAAAGTGCCTGATTTGGAATGCTAGAGGCTTCTGCGTGTCATTTGCTAGAGTAGTGTGAACCTTTGGATGCCAGTAGAGGCAGCTCTCCAAGTGTAGCCCATGGCCCACACGTGGCTCTAAAGTTCCTTCTGGTGGGCAAAGAATCGATCTAGGAATGCACTCCTTTCCTTGGGCATATCTGGTGACTGACATGCAGTTCCTTTGACTTTCACTTCTGACCAGGGTTGTTTATAAGTAATCTAAGTGAGTAAAGCAAGGCTTAAAAATTTTAGCTTCATTAAATGGAAATTAGCTTGTTACCAGAATTTTCTGAAGACCTGCCTTTACAAATCCTAGATTATTATGCCACTCTGCATAGAAGCTTAGATATTAAGAAACCTAGCCGATAGCTTTTGGTGACCCCTGGCTGGCCTAGACTACATCTAGGAGGCTGGCACTTCCCAGTTGAGCAGCAGTAGAGGTGTGCCTTGGAGACCCCCTGAATCACAGTGGAACCAGTAGAAGCATTTTTCTCTAGGACCATATGCTGTTAATATTGCTCGTATACTGGAGACTCAAAGTGAAGACGCCATTCACATTTTCTGCAGTCTCCTGGGATATCTCAGTCTCCTGGCCCATCTCCATACCCCCTAGTTTAGCACAAGCAGACTTGGCAAGAAGGCACATTCCTATCGACTGTAAAACATGCTTAGCTTAGAGCCTGGGTGTTTCTGACCACAGCAGCCTTTTATTCTATGTTAGCTGTTTGGTTCCTTCTGTATTCCTGTGGGAGCTGTGCAGTTAGATAAGATTACTTCGAAGTTCTCTTCGAACTCTAAAGCCCTATAACTCTGAGCCAAGATGATTGAGGGAGGGCATAGCTCATTTTGCAGCAAAAAAGTAATGTCTATCTGCCCCATCTTATTTGGATTTTTATTTTTGCTTCTCTATAACATACCTACAACTATGGGGATAAGTGTTCATGTAAACAAGTCTTCCTTCTTCCCCAAACTATCTATACATAACTCTGCATTTAAAACTGACGACACCCTCTCCCCCAAAACACCCAAATCCAGATTATTGTTCCGCCCTGGGTAGGGGGGATCCTTGAAGGTACCAGGGCGCTCAGCTGTTCTACTGAGGAAATAGCGTAAGCAGCCTAATCCTGCCCCAGACTCACAGCCATCCAGCGACAGGCTGGCCTCTTGTGGGACGATCATGAGGCAGCACCTGTCCCTGCCTTGCCCTGGCTCTGCTCAGTGCTCTCAGGGCAATGGGGAAAGGGTCTGCGTTTATTTTGGCAGATGTGGAAAGGAGGGAGGGGATGCTTTACAGGGAAAAGGTTTTCTAATTGACAAGATATGTGACAATGTCAATCAAAAAGATCGCGGCAACTGTTTTCATCTTTTTTGCTTAGGCTGCTGCCCTGGTTCACATTTATCTAGACGGGTCTGTGCTGGTGACTCATGGTGGAATTGAAATGGGGCAGGGGGTCCACACTAAAATGATTCAGGTAAGAATGCAGATAATTGGGTTAAGTCGGATGTGTGCTTGTAGATATGTGTAGGAGAGAGAAACCTGGAGTGTACATCTTCTGTTCCCAAATAAAAAGAATAGGACACTTTAGCTTTGACTACTTCAACTGCTAAGCTATTCACAGAAACTGGGTAAACAAGCCAGTTTTGTAACTGACCCTCCTAAAAGAATGTGGTAGAATTGCCTCTGGTTGTCTTACTGCTAAAGAAGGTTGTATGGTCATTTGCTGCTTTCCTTTGGATATATTAACAAGTGTGTTGTCTTTTTTGAACCTTTGCTGGGCAATAAAAAGATTTAGAAATTCTGATGTATTGCGTTATTTCTTGCCCTTTTTATAGTAAGGACTCTGAACAACTGATAGTATAAAACACGTTTGATATTTCTAACCGAACTACCAGTTTTCTTTTCGCTCAATTATTTTAGAATAATTTTTAGCTACTGTTTCTATTTTGCTAGTTATTGTAATATTACAGATTATAAAACATTTGAAAGGCAAACATTATTTTAGAAAACCCTGCACAATTATACCACTTAGCAATAATCACTGTTTTGGGGTCTCTCTATTTTGACATTTTTTCTTTTTCAAAACATCACTGGCATTCTTTTTATATAATTTTATATCCTGGATTTGCACCTATCCTTATATAGAGTGACCATTTCCTCCTGTCATTAAGAATTCTTTACAATCATGATTTTTAATGCTGCATGTATATGTCTGTATAATTTATTTAGCCATCCCCAATTGCTGAACACTTCAGTGAAATTTTTGTCCATAAACCTGTGATCAAACCAATGATTTTTTTAAAAAATAAATTCCAGGAATGGAATTACTGGGTCACAGAATATATCTTAAGTCACTTGCCACGTTATCAAATTGTTTTCCAGAAAGTATCCATCACATTTCACCACTACCCAACATGTTACATTATGGATTGTTTAAAAAAAAAACTTAAATTATAATTTAAAAATATATAAGCTTTTATCATTTAAAAACTTATAATTATTTCCTCTATTAAATTATCTATTTAATAGAGGAAAGTATCTCATTATTGCTTTAATTTGCACTTTTCTGATCATAGAGGTGCTGAATATATGTTTTATTTCATGTTATCACTTGTTTGAGAATTGTGTGGTCATACCTGTCCCCCTTTCTGGGGTGAGACTTCTGTGTTTTCCTTGTTGGGCCGCCAGAAACCTTTCTTTTCTAAGCCTATGCACTTTGTGTAGGCGGTCTTCTGAAAGCCAGTGATGGGGAGGGCTCTGTATGCCGTATGCCCCTGTGGTAACTGTGGACAAACTCAACTAAGCCATACTGCTAGCAGGAAAGAGAATGTGGGACCAGCTGAGATGAGTAGTATGATTTTGCCCCATCGTTAAACACAAAGGAAGAACCTAGCAGCCAGCTAAGTCCTTACGTTGGCCAGTGGCGCTGGCACCATGTACTTCTGGCATCTCCGGTTGGTGCAGCTGCTTTAACAAAGCCATTGTCCTTTCTCAGAAATGCTCTCTTCCTGGAGCATCTCCAGAAATGTGCATAAGGCATCTCCTCTCTGATGAAGTCAGATTTGCTAGAATTTTGCAGAGTGCAGAGGTAGGAGGGGCCTTGAAGGTGCTGATTTCATGATGATGAAAACATGAAACATTTCTTCCTGCCTTGGCTTGGGGCCTCACCTCCTCTTCCTGGTGCTGTTGCACAAAAGAAAGTCAAAGAACAAGAAAGTGTGCTCAGGGCTGGGGCGCCAAACTAGCTACAGGGTCTTAGACAAGAGGAACTTCTTGTGGCTGGAAGAATTCGTGGTCCTGCCACTTGTTCCAGTTGGGCATGGGGGTGTTCCACACACATGCTATCGTATGCTAAGTGCACGGGTCTATGACTAACCAAAGAAAAGTGAAAGAAGATCTCTTCCAAAATCCAGGTGGCCAGTCGTGAATTAAGGATGCCATTGTCCAACATCCACCTTCGGGGAACAAGCACAGAAACCGTCCCTAACGCAAACATCTCTGGAGGCTCCGTGGTGGCCGATCTCAATGGGTTGGCAGTAAAGGTAAAAATCGTTGCATTGGCACCCAAATCATGAACCCCGTCAAGGCTGGAGCTCAGAAGATGTTGCAAATCAACCCAGTCTTGTCTCCTTCCCACGCCCTCTTGGGGAAAACTGCGCCTTCCCCCAGTCGGGGGCTCAGTCAGTGTCAGGACTGGCCACTCTCCTGAGCGGGAGATGCCACCTCCTTTCTCCCTCACTCCTGAAAGCTCACTGGTCCCCAAGCCTTATCAGTTCTACTCAGAAATGTCTCTTTCCAGTTCCAGGTTGCAGTACCACGGCTGCTTTGGTTCAAACTTGCGCCTCTTGTCAGGGCCATCGCGAGCCTCTGTCTGTCCACCCCAGCTTCATTGCCTTTCACTCTGGCTTCCTGCAGCCAGGGAAAGCTTTCCCACAAAATAAATCTGACCGTGCTGTGCTTAAAAACAGTGACCGGTGGTTTATCAACAGCTTTTCTGTTAAGTCCTGACCGCTTAGCAGGGCTTACACGGCCCCCATCCCAGGCGGTCTGTCTTTAAGACCAGCTCATGCTTCACCCCCAACCCCATGAGACCTTTCACCCCACCTCTTACGGGGTTGGTGTCTTCCTTCTCCTCTTAAATAAGCCTATATAACAGCACATAATAGTGTGTTTTTGAAATTGTTGTTCTCGTGACATTATGGTCATAATTTTAACTAAAAAATAATCCCTAGGACGCTTGTCAAACTCTTCTAAAACGCCTTGAACCCATCATCAGCAAGAATCCTGGAGGCACTTGGAAGGACTGGGTGAGAACCGCTGTTACTTTGTGTTGTATGTTAGGGAAAAAGGAGAGAGGAGAGTGAGACGTGTGAATCAAATACCAGTAGAAAGGGCACATCAAAAGGTACTGCAGTTACATCATGATCAATAGAAGCCTTTGGCTCTCGGCATGTGGAGATATTATCACAGCATGATGGAGGAACTCCTACATCTGGGACAATTCTCTATTAGAGAAAAGATGGTTCTTGTGTCCAGAACTCTTGTTTTAATCAAGAATTAATTAATGTTTCTTCCTAAGGAATCTAGGTATTTTCTAGATAATAGCAGTCCATCCATTTGTTCTTTTTTGGGGGGTTCCCCTGTTCCTGAAATTGGAAGATAACGCTAGAATCCTTTTATAAAAGTAAAAATCATATAAGCGCCCTTTAGACAGAGGAAACCAAGCCATTTGGGTATATAGTCAGCAAGTAGTAGGCACTAAATGGAATGGAAATATTCAACTGCTTCCTTTCATCTACCTAAAATCTAATTGGATGAGAAGACACACATTCTAAAGGCAACTAGGAAACTTTTCAGAGTAACAGGTTCTAAAGTACCAGGTGGTGTGGAATGGATACCCACTGAAGGCTGACAGTTCTAGGATGTCAAGTCATATTAAAGCACTGGTGTGGAGGAAATAACATTGGAGAGTCTTACTTAGAAATGGTTCCTGCTATTCCATAGAGTTAGGATTCATTCTATAATTCATATTTATAGGAGCTCTCAATCCTTTCTGGGCATATTTATTTCTGCCCTTTGCCCAGTGCTTCCTGGGAGAGTCTGGTTGGAGAAGGATGGACAGAGATGCAGTGCAAGAGAGTCAGTCCTCCACCATCAGAAAATGCTGTCATTCAGCCCACTTTCCTCTGTAATGGTTGCACTTCTCACATTTTTCTTTCTCAGACTTGGGGGCATCATTTTGTATCTTAGTCAACTGTGTACACTGCAGAGTCAGGAGAAGCCTTTTGGTGTATTGTACCCCTCTCCTAAGTCTGTTATGGATACATGATATTAAAATTAAATGTCTGACCACCCATTTTTTCCTGAAATGTTCTGTGTTAATAGGCTAAGTCTTTCCAGGTGACTGAGTGAAATTCTTCATAAGCAGAACATGTGTTGCCCCCAACAGTCCAATTTATAAGTGTAACATACCATGGGAGTCATTTATTATGATGATATGCATTGAACAAATGCTATTCCTACAAGCAGTGAACCATAAATGCCTATAGAGATGGAAAATGCTGAAAGGAATAAATTAAACTTGGTCCTTCCTAGTTTTTACTACTGATCACTTTATTTAACACAGAGTAAAATTAATACTGAAGTCTCGAGTGATTCTTACTTTAGACATCTTTATCGCATCACGTTGTATTCTTCTTTCCCAGGCACAGGCTGCTTTTGATGAAAGCATTAGTCTTTCAGCTACTGGATACTTCAGGTAAATCGTCCTTTCAATCGCATGCTATGGAAAATGGCAGCGGTATCTTGAGGGGAGGTTTCATTTCTGTTTGCCATTTTGGCAAAAAATGATTTTGTACCTTGTGTTAACCCACTGTTATAAAGAACAATTAGGTGCTACTTAATCCAAATTTCCAGAAAGCCTGGGAAAAAATAGACACAGAAATAAAATACAGCTGAATCGATGATTCAGATCATACTGGGAAGTACTAACCTGGGGGTTAGTGCTTGGAACCCACAACAGTGGTTGACCTTTTGTTGAAAACTCAGTGTGTCCCTTAAGTTAGGAAATGAAGGAAAAGGGATGCAAATTAAACCCATAATAAGATAAATACCATCTCACACCTTCTAGATTGGCAAAATATAAGAATTTGACAATAACTGTGTGTTGTCAAGATGTGGCACAACTAGAACTCAGACACTTTGGAAAAGAATCTATCAATTTATCGAGTTATTTTAATGGAGAGTGGAAGCCATCAGAGAATAGAGTGATATAGAGTCATACCTGATTTTGTCTCTTTGTCACTTGTCATGGGAGTCCCAGGCTATCAGGAATTGGCTCTCAGGAATAAGCCCCTCCAGACTGGGCGGAGCAGAGGAGAGAAGGGTAGAAAGTACTGGCAAGCTGCTGGCCTGTGCTTCTCTTCTACCATGGCATTTGTTTGGTGTTCTTAAAGAACAGTTAGGAACAGAGCAGGCCATGGTGCCTGATGGAGCGACCAGAGTAGTGGTACAGAATGAGAGCCAAGGGGCCTGATCCCTCGCACAGAAGGCTGAATCCTAGAGCCAGCAGATGGGTGAACTGCCAAGCGTGCACCTTTGATGTAGTGTTTGGTGTAAAATCCAGGTGGAATCCCCCACATCTGATGACGATAGGATTACATGACCCAATATTAGCCAAAAGCAATAGGATGAATATCCATACAGTCAGCAGTTAACTTCCAAGCATAAGGAGTCAGTGGTAGGGAGTGGTTTCATGTTTTTATCAGGCAAAGCAAGTAAGAAGTAAATATTTATTTATTCAGCAGACTTATTGCATGTATTATGTGCTACACACCATTGTACATGTGCACTCCTCTGGTTTGCTGTGCATACAAATTGAGCACAGCTCTTAACGGGTCTGTTTAATCATTGTGGTCTGCAATTAGGGGACTTGGTCACTTAACAACGCTCCTCAAGAATTCTATTTCCTCCAGGGGTTATGAGTCGAACATGAACTGGGAGACAGGCGAAGGCCGTCCTTTCGAATACTTTGTTTATGGAGCTGCCTGTTCCGAGGTTGAGATAGACTGTCTGACAGGTGCTCATAAGGTCAGTACCAATTGGGAAGGTCTTCAAGTTGAACTCTAGATACATCTATTTTCCACATATTCCATCTGTCTGAGCACCAGAGAGGCACCATGTAATCGGCCTAGGGATAATTTGTCTGTTTTACCAAGGAAAATAGAAGCTCAGCAATCGCCTCAGTGTTTTATGTGGAAAACAACTGGCAGCCTCTCTTCTTTATTTCCCCTGCTCTTTCAAATGGAATCAGGAAAAAAAATCACTTCAAGGAAGAAACACAGCCTACAGGGGGCTTCAAGGAAGAAACAGCCTACAGGGGGCTTCGATGTAGAAACAGCCTACAGGGGGCTTCCTCGTGCATGAAATGCCATCATATGGCATTCTTTTTTTTTTTTTTTTTTAAGAAGATGTTGGGGGTAGGAGTTTATTAATTAATTAATTTATTTTTGCTGTGTTGGGTTTTCGTTTCTGTGAGAGGGCTTTCTCTAGTTGTGGCAAGCGGGGGCCACTCTTCATCGCGGTGCGCAGGCCTCTCACTATCGCGGTCTCTCTTGTTGCAGAGCACAGGCTCCAGACGCGCAGGCTCAGTAGTTGTGGCACACGGGCTCAGTTGCTCCGCGGCATGTGGGATCCTCCCAGACCAGGGCTCGAACCCGTGTCCCCTGCATTAGCAGGCAGATTCTCAACCCCTGCACCACCTGGGAAGCCCCATATGGCGTTCTTGAATGATTTCATAAGCATCCACAATCTGCTAACAAGCACCAAGGGCCAGCCCAGGGGAGCTAGTGGCCAGCTTTTGATATCTTTTGTCCACCTAGGTCCTGCTTTTTAGATAGTTTAAGAGCATCCTTATGCTTTTAAGAAATGCTATGGGGCTTCCCTGGTGGTGCAGTGGTTGAGAGACATGCTTTTCATGCTACAGTAGCTGTCCTGTGTTAGGGAGTTCAGTAGAAAGTCCTCTGATGCTAACTGATTTCTACATTCCCCCCTCCCTCGAAGAAAATGTTGGTGAAAACTTAATCATTTGGGTTTCCTTGTGTCTTGCATATGCCTTGGTCTTGTTAAGATCTAAGAACAGGGTAATAATTAGCCTTGGTATTAAATGTTAAGGTGTGCTCTTATAATTTATTGAACAATCTTTTTTTTACATAAATTTATTTATTTATTTTTGGCTGCATTGGGTCTTTGTTGCTGTGCACGGGCTTTCTCTAGTTGCAGCGAGCGGGGGCTACTCTTTCATTGCAGTGCGCAGCCTTCTCATGGCAGAGACTTCTCTTGCTGCGGAGCATGGGCTCTAGGTGCAAGGGCTTCAGTAGTTGTGGCATGCGGCCTCAGTAGTTGTGGCTCGCGGGCTCTAGAGCACAGGCTCAGTAGTTATGGTGCACGGGCTTAGTTGCTCGGCAGCATGTGAGATCTTCCTGGACCAGGGCTCAAACCCGTGTCCTCTGCATTGGCAGGTGGATTCTTAACCACTGCGCCACCAGGGAAGCCTAACTGAACAATCCTAAGAGATGCATGAGACAGCCTTATCAGATGCCTTCATAGAAGCTAGATCTGAGGCTCAGGTTAGGTATCACCCCAAGGCAAAAGGCCATAATGTGACATCCCACTAAGGGACCTCCCTGTGGCCTGTTTTTCAGAAATTCTCTTCATATTGATGGAATTGCTTTAACAGACATTTATCAGCTGATACCATTTCTGAGGGTCAGGAACCTGGGAGTGGCTTATTGGGGTGATTCTGGCTTGGGTTTCCTCATGAGGTTACCGCCAAGCTGTTGACTACCGCCAAGGGTTGCAGTCATCTCAAGGCTCAGTGGCAGCTGGAGAATCCGATTCCAAGCTGCATTGCGTGGTTGTTGGCAGGAAGCTTCAGTTTCTCACTGGCTGTTGGCCAGAGGTCTCCGTTCCTCACCACATGGACCTCTCCATAGGATGTTTCAGTGTCCTCAGGACGTGAAAGCTGGTTCCCCGTGAGGGATTGGTCCAAAGGAAGAGGAGAGAGAGAGAGTATGGGCGATTAAGATAAAACCCAAGACAGAAGCCAGAGTCAGCCTAGTCTCGGAGTGATGAACTATTACTCCTGCCATATCCTACTGACCACACAAGCCACCCCTGGTAGAGTGCGGGAGCGGGCTGCATGAGGACGTGAATACGGGGAGGTGGGGGCCATCGAGGGCCATCGTGGAGTCTGGCTGCCACAGCCTAGAGCAGCCCTGTCAAATGACAGTGCAGACAGCAGTAAGTCCACAGCCTTGAAAGCAAAACCTTCACTAGCACTGCAGAATTGAGAGCATCCCTGCTCGCCTCCAGTTGAGGCCACTGGTCTCCTAGAAGAGGCCACCAGCCTTGCTAACTTGTGTGGAAGAGAAATTTACATTTCACTGTGTCTTTAAACAAGATGGGTGGGTACCTGAAGTTTTATCATAGTAAAACATTCTAGATCACTATCTAATTTACTTAAGAAAAATGCTAGATGAAAGTCCCAGATCAAATAAGGAAATTCTTGGGTTTCCTTTGTTGCATTCATAATTATAAGTAGAATCTGTCATGACAAAGACCATATGTCACAGAAAAGAAGGTACAGACCTGCTGGGGAGCAAAGGTGTCACCACCAGGCTGGCTGGGCCTGCTGTCCTTCTCCTCATTTGTAGGTTATCAGAGAACTTTTGGTCACCAAGGTGGTAATGTTAGATTTAATCTCTGCTCTGCTCTAAAAATGAAAAATGTAAAATAGCATATAACAGATTTTTTGCTGATGTGCCCTGAGCTCTTGATTCAGTAACTATCACCCAGCCAGCTGGACTCTGAATGTGGGGTTGTGTGGTAGCCACAGAGTTTTGCAACAAGGATCAGGAGGGCCATAGACATTTCCTGTTTTCTGTGGCATATGTTCTATTTGTTGTAGTGGATTAAACTGAATATGTTACATCACTCAGCTGGAATCAAAGTCAAGTAAATATTTTTCTCTCCTATTTTTTCCAAGAAAAAAAAAATCACTGATTAAGCTGGTTGAGTATTTATATAACTTTGAAAGTTACACATAATAAACTTTGTTGCTTCTTTCTCCTGAAATATAATGTGGCCCAAAGATAGGTTCTTTTCCAATGCCATCCTGACAGGAACTGCTTCTCGACTTTGTCTCCCCAAGTTGTATTCATTAAACTAAACGTCTTTACTTTTTTTTTTTAATTACTAGAACATCAGAACAGACATTGTCATGGATGTTGGCTGCAGTATAAATCCGGCCCTTGACGTAGGCCAGGTATGTGGAACTGACTTTCCTGACTCCCTATTTGTAAAAGTCAAAGCTTCTGGGGGATCTGCCAGGAACACATCCCGTTGGCTTGTTCATCGTCTTCTTATTCTATCCCTTTATTCAGCATCTTTCCATTCAGGACAGCCACGGAACTCAAATCTCTTAGTGTTTAAAAAAGGGAAGGGGACAAAGGTGTTTCAGTTCCACGAGGAAAAGTTGATTGGCTGCTTCTTTAGAGAGTCACATGCTCTCTGGAAGCTTCCCTCACTTTCTTTACCTGCCTCAGCCCCAGTGGGCCATTCAGCTCCATACTTGCAATGAAGCGTATAGTCTGAGGGACTCTCCAATTAGGACATTGACTGGAGAACGGGAAGAATGTATGGGTTGGAGGAGTCAAAGCGGGCTTCCGGGAGGAAGTGGTGTGGACCAGGTAGTCAAAGAATGATCGGGAAGAGGTGTTCTGGGTGGGAGGAGAGTGGAGGAAATCAACCTAAAGAGAGAGCTAAGATTCTGCACACCTTGTGTTCATGGCTGGCAGTGAGGAGAGGCTGGTGGCAGCGCTCAGCCATGTCCCAGGAGCAGGATGTGAGGCTGGAGGTAGGGAGCAGAAGAGGGCCGGGCTGGTGGAAGCCTCCAAAGACAGGCACCTCACTTAGCAGGGGGAGGGGACTTGGCCCCGGGAGCAGTCTGGAGTGTTAGGAAGCTTCCTCTAACATCGTGGTAGAGAAGAACATCTCTGCTAATAGATAGAAGTGAGGATGGAGATGGGTGGAGAAAATATGGCCACAGGAAGGAAAAAAGGAAGAAGAGACTCAGAAATCACAAGTCTGTGTGGGCCTTCCCTGGTGGCGCAGTGGTTGAGAGTCCACCTGCCAATGCAGGAGACACAGGTTCGTGCCCCGGTCCGGGAAGATCCCACATGCCGCGGAGCGGCTAGGCCCGTGAGCCATGGCCGCTGAACCTGTGCGTCCGGAACCTGTGCTCCACAACGGGAGAGGCCACAACAGTGAGAGGCCCGCGTACCGAAAAAAAAAAAGAAAAAAAAAAGAAGTCTGTGTGGAAAGGTAATTTTGTCCACGTGCTGACATCTAAGAACCGGAGCATTTTAAACCTGTAAAGGAAGCTAAGCAAGCACACGGTTCAAACCCTTCATGTTACAAGCGAGGAAACTGAGTCTAGAGATGTGAGGCCAGCAGGCTCGTGAGTGAGGAGCTGCTAAGGTTCCGGAGCCCCGAGAGTCTTTCCTGGGGTGCTGGGGTCTGTGGCCAACCAGTCAGAGAGCGTTTCATCTGCCTTGTAGGCAGAAAAAGTCAGGGCATTTGGGCTACAGGCTCCCTGAGGGTTCTTCCAGAGCTGCAATTTTAATGCCAGGCTGAGATTCGAACTCAAGTCCTTTGAGTGAACTTAGCGTTCGCTAAGATGTTCAGACATGCTTCGAGGTGAACTTGTAAGTAAACATTTGGAGACATACTCCAAGACATGCTGAAAACCCCCTTCAACTTCATTTTTAAGATTCACACTAACAGCAAGAAGGTGAAATGTTACTGTTGACTGTCTTTTCTCATATATGGAAATTTTTATTTTTATTTATTTATTTTTTGCCTCAGATTGAAGGTGCATTTATTCAAGGCGTGGGACTTTATACAATAGAGGAACTGAATTATTCTCCTCAGGGGGTCCTGTACACTCGGGGCCCAAACCAATATAAGATTCCTGCCATCTGTGACATCCCCACGGAGTTGCATGTTTCTTTGTTGCCTCCGTCTGAAAACTCAAATACCCTGTATTCATCTAAGGTAAGCTGTGCTCTATGAATAAATGCATGTTTACGTGATATCTGTGCCAGGAGGGAGGGGCTACAGTCATCTCTTGGTTGTTTGGGGGGTTTGCCAGGATTGTAGGGGAAAAAAGCCCTATTAAACATTTTTTTTTGTTTGGCCGCCATGCGGCTTACAGGATCTCAGTTCCCCAACCAGGGATTGAACCCGTGCCCCCCGCAGTGGAACACGGAGTACTAAACACTGGACCACCAGGGAACTCCCAAAACATTTTAATTTTAAAGTAATTTAACAACATTATACAATTTAAAAAAAATACTCCAAATCGTGGAGACTAACACAAACTACTATTACCATCAGGTTGTCTGATTTTTTCATCTTCATGCCAATAATCACCTTAATGCCTATATCTGCTTTCTCCATTTGGGATCATTTCCTTAGGCTGGAATCCTAAGAATGGGAATACTGGGTTAAAATAGTGAATTAGTTTTTTAAAGGAAAAAGTTGTACATGTAATATTTAATATTTTATGTACCCGTACATGCACATATGTACCTATAGATGCACATATACATAATACACATACATAGGTATATATATACAGAGAGGGAAAGAGAGAGTCATAATCTAGTTGACTTGTTTCCCTTCCAGGGCCTGGGAGAGTCTGGGATATTCCTGGGGTGTTCGGTGTTTTTCGCCATCCAGGACGCGGTAAGTGCAGCACGACGGGAGAGAGGGCTGTTGGGACCGTTGAAGCTCAATAGTCGACTGACCCCAGAGAAGATTAGAATGGCCTGTGAAGACAAGTTCACAAAAATGGTATGTTCTGCTCATGCAAGTCTGAGTTGTTTTTTCCCCTGTCCTTGTGGTTAAGTTTCATTAACCCACCGTGGTGGTTTTCCACGGAAGAAGTGGTGACAGGAATCCTGAAGACATCTGAGCAGGAGAGCAGCCTGCCTGCAGTGGGGCTCAGTTCTACACCACTAAAAAAGAAAGGTTCATTCTTCATTTCTTCACTCATCAATTGTATATTCCTCCTTATTAGTTTTGTTCCCTTCCCAGGACACATCAGTCAGGGATAAAGTTCAGGAACTGTGCCCTGAACCCAAGAATCCCAGGCCGAGAATCTGGGCCACCTCCACAATCTAACTTCCTCGGAAGGAAGTTTAGAGGACAGACTAAACTTCCTTCCAAACCACTGGGAGTATGTGCCATTCCTCATTTGAACCACAAAGTAGGATGGGCCCTTTCCCAACCCCCAGCAGCAGGAATCCCTCCTGCAAGCCAACCCCCCTCCCGCCCCGCCCCCTCCGGCTGAGCAAACATCTCAGCTCTCCTTGGGCGTTTCCAGTGGGATTTTTCATTGTGGGAGGAGGTCATGCCATTGACAGTGACTCCTCTGACTGTAAACAAGTTATTCCTTATACTGAGGGGAGAGCCCCGTCCTATACCTCCTCTCATGAGGGCTCTTCATGGTACCCCTTATAGCTCTTCCTAAACCCCACGAATCGCTGCTTCACTCTGGAGAAGCACAGAGGCTGATTCCACCTTTCCTTTGTCCCTCTTCAAGCATGAGATGACTCTCATAGCTGTCCTGCCTCGCCCGACCCTTGGTCTCCTCCTGGATTCCTCCACGTTTCTCATACTGTCATGGCCAGACCTCTCGTTGTCCTGGTCACCCTCTGGGTGGCTTTTATCCTATTTTATAGTCTGCTATTTGTCACACATCACAAACATTTTCCAAGTTGCAAACATCCAAACTTGTCCTTTTATTCCAGATTCCAAGAGATGAACCTGGATCCTATGTTCCTTGGAGTGTACCCATATGAATCAAATACAAACCTCTGGCGAAGATGGGGTGGCTCTTCCAACAAAGCAATCTATCCAGTCTCAATGCTCTAGGATGATGGGTCTGAAAGACAAATTTTCACAGTTCAGAAATCATTTCACAGAGTATTGCTTTTATAGGATGCTGATTTTAAATGTTCCATTTGGAATTTGATAGATATGCTTAAGCAATTTAGAAATCATATTTTAAATGGCATAAATGCTAACTGGTTTCCTCTAGAATGGTATTCTTTATTATTCTGTCCCTTAAATCCATCCAGCTGAATGGAATGGAAGATGATGGTTTATATGTAATTCATAGTTGGCTTGTATTCACCAACAGAAATTATACTGTCTAGTGAAAGGTGGTTTTCTAAGTAACTTTATTAGTATGAACTGTAAAGTTGTCATTTTCTCATTTGTCCCCATCTGCTAACACCCTCTTTTTCTTGTCAGAATGGATCTAGGCACTATGTCTAAAGAGTCTGTAGGACCAAAGAAAAAAAACCAGATAAATTGAATTTAATCAAAACTAAAAAGTTTTGTGCTTCAAAAGACACTATGAGAAATTGAAAACACAAACCACAGAACAGGAGAAAATATTGAAAATATTTGCAAATCGTATGTCTGATAAAGATCTACTGTGCAGAATATATTTTTAAACTCTTACAACTCAACAATAAAAAGATAAATAACCCAATTTTTAAATGGGCAAGGGAATTAAATAGACATTTCTCCAAAGACATCCAGGTGGCCAATAAGCACATGAAAAGATGCTCAAACTCATTAGTCGTGAAGAAAATGCAAATCAAAACCACAATGAGATATCATTTCACACCCACTAGGGCAGCTGTAATCAAAATGATGGATAACAGTAAGTGCTGGTAAGAATGTGGAGCAATTGGAACGTTTATCCATTGCTGGGGAGAATGAAAATGGTGCAGGTCCTCTGGAAAACACTTTGGCAGTTCCTCAGAAAGCGAAACACGTAGTTATCATATGACCACTCTTACATATATACCCAAGAGAATTGATAAACGTATGTCCACACAAAAACTTGTACACCAAGGTTCATAGCATTATCTATAATAGCCCAAACTGGAAACAGCCCAACTCTATAAACTGATATATGTGTTCTATCCATGTAAGGGAATATTATTGAGCCATACAGTGAATGAAATACTGATACATGCTACAACATGGATGAACCTTGACAACATTATCTGAGTGAAAGTAGCCAGGCACGGAAGGCCACATATTCATAGTATGATTCCATCTATGAAATGTCCAGAATAGGCAAATTCATAGAGACAGAAAGTAGATTAATGGTTGCCAGGCCCTGAGGGGAAAAAGGAATGGGACGGTGATGGCTAATGGGTACAGGGTTTCTTTTCAGGCTGATGGCAATGTTCTGGAATTGGATAGAGATGATGGGTGCACAACCTGTGTATATACTAAAAACCACTGAATTACACACACTTTAAAAGAGTGAATTTTATGGTATGTGAGAAACAGAAAACAAGGAAAAGAGTGAGAAGTTGTGAGATTCATAAGAAATATATCCCAGTGGCCTTTAGTGACAGGAAACCTCAAAGCAGCAAGACAGAATCACTGAAAAACTCCAAACATCAGCACTGATGTATAAAGGACTAGAGACTAGAGTGTAATATCTTCTCCCTGTCACACTTGCAACTCTTGACTCTTGTCCCAGAGCCAGGTAAGACGGCAAAACTTCTTCAATGACCTAGGACTAAAGACTAAGGTCATTCTTATTATGGTTACACATGGTTACATTAAAACCCTTTAAAGAGCAGACTTTCTCATTCATATCACAAATGATTATGGAGCACCTACTATGTGCCAGGTGCTGTTCTAGTCACTTAGGACATAACAGTAAACCAAGTCAACAAAGATCCCTGCCCTTGTGAAGATTATAATCTAGTCAGGGGAGACAGACAGAAAATAACAAATATAATTGAATTACAGAGTGTGATCGATGGAGCCCAGTGCTGAGGGAACAATCAAGTAGAGCAGGTTAGGGCGACAGAGAGTGAGGGAGGCCTACAGCTGGTTGCAGCTGGTAGGTCTGGGGATGAGGATGGTGAGGGTCTGAGCCAAGAAGGTACCTGGAGGAAGAGCACGTCAGAGCATCTGGGGGCAAAGTCCGCACCGGGGGAGTGTGCCTGCCTCTCTGTGGACAGAAATGGCGCTTGTGAGCCCGGAACAGGCCCGGGGAGGGGCAGACAAGCAGAGCCTTGAGACCACTGTGAGGACGTGGGCTTTTAATCTGAGTGAAAGGCAGAGCAGAGAAGTAACACGAACTGACCCATTTTAAAATCTCACCCTGGATGCTGTGGTGGCACAGATCAAAGGAGGGCACATTCTTAGGCTCCTCACAGCTTGGCTTCCCCAGGTTTTCTGTTTCTTCTGCTTTCTCCCCCTCTCTTTTTGTCCCTTTGCCAACCCCTCCTCCAGCCCACGTCTATAAATGCTGGGATTTCCCAGGGAGCCGTGGGTCCTCATCTCACTCCCTCTCCCTGGCGGGTGCCTTCACTCCTGTGGCTTCTCTGCCTGCAGCCTGGGCTTCTCTCACTCAAAGTCCAGCTCTGAAAACCCAACTTGCCTGTCACTGCCACTTGGATGTCTCAAAGGCACCTCCATCTTAATGGGTCCCAAACAGATCTTCTTGTCAGTGCAGCCATCCACAAGACGCTGTGCCGAAGCCCGGGGTTGGGGGGAAGGGGGAAGTGATCCGAGATGCTCCGTTCTCCAGGTGCGCAAGTCCTGTTAATCCCACCTCAGAGAAACGTCTTACATCTGCCTCTCACTCTCTTTGTTCCCCTGTTGTCCCAAGCCATCATTATTTCTAACTTGACTGTTGCGGAAGTCTCCTCATCTTTGCCCTGTGTTCATTTTGCTTCCCTTCCAAACCATTCTCCAGATTAAAGCCAAAGTTACGTGTACAAGTATGGACACACACACACACACACACACAATATGATCATGTTACGATCTTGCCTCAAATCCTGCCATGGCTTCCTATTCATCCCACCAGAATACTGTTCCAAGTCCCTAAGGTGGCGTGTGTACCCTCAGTGCTCTGGCTCCTGCCTACCTCTCCAGCATTATCTCACAACCCCCTCTCTTTTACCGTGAGCACTTCCCGTTCTATTTGGGACCTTTGCGTGTGCCCTCTGCCTGGAAGACACTATCACTTTGACCCATCCTTTTGTCTGTCTGATACTACGTAGTGCTTCTCTCATTTTAAAATGCACGCAAATAACTTGAGGATCTTGTTAAAATGCAATTAAGCAAGCCCAGAAGCAATAAGGTAAGCCGGAAGTGGCACATCCAGAATCAAACACAAGGAATTGAAAGAACAAGCAAGCTGCAGGTAACCCAGACCCCGTTACCCACTACTGTTGCATCAGCATGTCTCCCGCAAATCATCCCTGTGGCTACACGGTGGAGCGAGAGGTCCTTTAGGACAAACCGATGGAAAAGGAAAAGTCAGCTTGGTTCACAAATGGGTGGGCTCAGTATGTGTGTACAAGCCAGGTATGGGTGGTGTCTTCACTACAGCCCCACTCAGAGGTGGTGAGGGCAGATTCCCCTGATGGGCAGAGCTTTGGATGGCGCACCTGGTCATCCATTTTGCGTGGAAAGCTGAGTGGCCCGAGTGGCCCATGGACTCATGTGTAGTAGCGACAATCTCATACTTGATTGGTTGTACTACCGCACACATTTTGGAAGGTGATTTAGTTGGACCCAGCAGTGTACATACCCTTCGACCCAGGAATTCCAGTTCTAGCAGAAAACACCCACCATGAAAGAGGCAAAGTAGACAAAATGGCATTTGACATTAGACACCTCTGTCCCTGGTCACTCCACTGCTGACACAATGGATGTGGGAAGGGCCAGGGGGGCAGGGGTGGGCCCTGTGCATCCATGTAGCTGCTGCTGAATGTCCAACGGCCCCCAATACAGACTAAAGCTAGTCCCCAGTTTAGCAGCATCCTTCCAGGAGACCAATTCGCCACTTGGTGGCAAGCTGCCAGCATTGAACACTTCTACCCTGGAAGGAGACGTGATTTATTTTAACAGAAAGAGACGCATATCTTGGGGGAAGGTTTGCTGTGCCTGCCTCCAGGACCTCAGCCATCACCACTACCTAAGGGCTTACTTAGTATTAAATCTGCTCTCTTAAGATCCCACATAACATCACCTCAGAACAATTTACAGCAAATACTGTCACCTGCTTTGCAGCAGGGTGGGGTAAGTGTGAGATATGGGATCCAACGGTCATATCACATCTGTACCACTCAGAAGCGCCTGGGCAATGGAATGACCTAGAGAGGGTACATCTGACATGCCATCTGGAAGGCTTGTGAGGTTGGAACTCCATCCTCCCAGATGCAGGATACTTGCAATTAAAGGGCTATATGTGACGTCTCCAGTGGACAGTTAACAAACCGGCATAAAATACCTGGACATTTACAGCAGCTTATGGTTAATATCCCTTGTACGTAAGAAAATTCTTCAAATTAGTAAGAAAGTAAAAAACCTAATAGAAAATAGAGGACAGAAGAATAAATACAAATATTCACTCAATCTATAGCAAGATGGAATATCTCACAATAACAGAAGAAATGCCAATTATGAACTGAAATTCCCCCCAGATATTTGAAAAATGCCAAGTGTAGATGGTACTCAGTGCTGGCGAAGGATATGGGGAAACAGACACTATCTCATACACAATTCATTGTATTACTGCACATTTTGGAAGCCAGATTAGTTGGACCTAGTAGCATGCAGACCCTCCAACCCAGGAATTCTAGTTCTCAGAATTTGTGCAGCAGATATACTTGCTCAAATGTGCAAAGATAAAGCCTACTTGTAATAGTGAAAAAAGGAAAACAATGTAAACTGAGAACAGTTTAATAAATTATGACAATAATAAAAATAGTTAACATTTATTGAGAACTTACTAGGTGCCAGGTGCTGTTCTAAGCACACCTATTAGCTGATTGAATCCTCACAGCAATCCCCAGAGAGATACTACTATTTTGTCCATTTCACAGGTGAGGCAGTTGAGGCACAAAGCGCCTAAGTAACTTGAGAAACGCAAATTTCGAAGTAATATGAATAGTTTGATTTCACTTTCTAGATTCATGTATGTACATATATTTCATATATGCATGGGAAAATTCTGTATGGATACAGAGGAATCTGGTAACAGTTAACTCTGAAAAGTGAAAATTGGGAAGGAGAATTTTCGCTTTTACTTTATACAATTTTGTGGTTTTGATTTTTAAAAAATAAGCGTTAGTTTCATAATTTAAAAACAAATACATCGGGCTTCCCTGGTGGCGCAGTGGTTGGGAGTCCGCCTGCCAATGCAGGGGACACGGGTTCGTGCCCCAGTCCGGGAAGATCCCACATGCCGCAGAGCGGCTGGGCCCGTGAGCCATGGCCGCTGAGCCTGCGCGTCCGGAGCCTGTGCTCCGCAACGGGAGAGGCCACAACAGTGAGAGGCCCGCGTACCGCAAAAAAAAAAAAAAAAAAATTAACACCTAAAAGCACACCTGAACGCATTATATCTACATGATTTAGTTCCATTTCAGATTAAAGAAGGTTCTTGTTGCTGGCTGTAAGAAGAAATTTTATTCCGGTGGGTCGCCCCCAGGGCAGGGAAAAGTGTACATTGTGTAAGAACTAGATTGAGATTGACCTTTCAAATTGGCCTAAGGGAGGAGGAAAGTGAGGGTAACAGAGGGAGGTAGGGAAATAAGACGACTGAGAGCGCAGGCAAACAAGATTTGATGGCAGGAACGCAGACAGAGAGCAGACCAGAATCACCCCTCGGGGCTGCCCTCTGTCCTGCTGGTCACCCTCCCATGGGAGCATCCCGGCCCCTGGCTCAGGTGGACACAACAGCAGGTGCTTTAGGGGCAACTCCACAACATTTCAGCCGATTATTCTGGCGTAATGTCTCATTCTAAGGAGTCCGATGAACTTGTTTTCTTTGTGAATGGAAGGAAGGTAAGTTGATCACGCTGTAGTTTCTAAATTTATGTAGAGAAAGAAACCATGGTAGCAAGAAGGTATTAGGTTCAGGTGACCAGCGTGTGAACTGGTGATCGACTCCGTGACCATGGCACTCTATCAACCTGTAGGTCTCTGGGAGGAGGGGGTGGAATCTACTTGTAAAATGCATTAGGACTACTAGATGAAGCACTTGATTATATTGATGTCTTCAGACTGCATTTGGTAATTGCATGCCAAATTAGATTGTATTCATCTAAGTGTTAGGCATGGATTTCTCTTTATGACCATCTTCCCCATCTCTCTCTTCCTCCCCACTTCCTTCCTCCCCTCTGCCCCAAGCCACCCTCCCCCGACACACACAAATTAGAAGTGTAAAATCTTCAGATCATTTGCAACTAATTATAAAACTTTTGACCAGCAAGAC